GCAGTGCACAAGAAAAAAAGTTGTTTGTACGGTGGGCTCTTGGTCTATACACAAAATACAGACACGCTAGCATAGGATTTATACGGTTTGCGCGAAAAGCTACTTGATTATTATTGGCCATGCATTCGCTTATGTGATTGAAATCTTCAACTATCACCACAAGCGTCGTGTCAGTAGAGCTCGTCTCATGTTCATTGGAAATACGTGTTATTGTTGTTGTAGCTGCATCGCCGTGGCGACGCCGCGCGTACGCAATTCACGTTAGATATAATATCGTACTTCATCATAGTAGCCATAGGTCATTCGGATTACTGGATATTGGGATTTCACGTGATATATCGAGTGCACTGCATAGACGATGTTTCGGCAACTAACGAATCGCTAAATCTAGTGGAATGCTACATCTATGCGTGTGACGACAAGTTCGCTGCTTCATTGAGATACTAGGTTTAAATTTCTATATGATGAACACACGCTCTGAATACGGAATCAAGAATTCTTTCATGCTTGTATGTGCTTTCCATCAATGTTCGAGATATATATAAATGTTGTGTACCTCTATATAGGTTGATGACTGTGCGTTGTTGCAGTTTCTGCATTCATTCGCACTTTTTTCATGTGTGTTGGAAATATAATGATGGGCATTCATTCATTTTCGTAAGTCAAATTACCTTAAATGAAACAAACGACCAATTATCCACTGGGAGAAGAATGATTGAAAATGAGTATATTTCATCGGTGGCGCGGCGCCTCAAAAAATATTTGTTTATCGATGTTCAATGTACAGTTTACATGTGTTTCTTGATATATAAATTCATTTGCACAAAAGATCGGTTCAATTCAACACACTCTTTCAACATTGTGAAACGAATTTCATGTTGTAGCTGGATTGAAAATGCAAATGACAACAAAACAAATAAATTAACAACAAAACTCATTGACATGTCGACAGACTTGCCCACACTTTCTTCCCTTTTCTAACTCGCGCTACCAACAGTGTTGGATGTGTGATGTTACATTACGCGTGCTATTTTATTTTAAGATCTTTTTTGAAAATGAAATCACCATCAAAAGGTTAATCATGAAGCAGTTGTCTGAAAAACAAGCGACATTTAAACTTGATTAGTTATGTACGTGTGTTAATTTTTTTTTACGCACATCGAAGTTCTGGTACTTGACTAGGGCGCACCAAGAGTAAAAAGCGATTAGTTTACGTTGAAAACAAAACCATAACTCACGGTTATTGTTTTGCAAACAGATTGTTTGACTCGCAAATAGTATATAAACACCGATATCATACAACGTACGGTCTGTACGAGAACAAGGATGGCTTACCATTATGGGAGCAAATGAGTGAGCAAGAAGAAAGAATGAATGTTTGCGCCAGTGTTGTTGAAGTCTTTGCCTATATTGGTATGAAACATTCGACATGTGTCGCATGGGAACCGCAGAGCGAACAGAGTGGAAGAGATATAGCAGGTCATACGCACATATGTTTCGCTTGAAGACCGATCGAAAGCGATTATATTTATAAATTGTTCAATAAATTCGAATATTGATTTTCGTACTAATCGCATTTACATCGTTAAATGGGAATCTTCCATTGACATGACGTTAACTTTGTATTTTCATATACGACGTCCGAGGACTTTGTGCATATTCTATTCCGTGTTTTTCGTTTTTCGTTCGCATGTCTCATTTTTCTTTTGTCACAAACATAAATATAAATGCGAGTATGTGCTGAGTCACTGAACGCTTTCCATTAGGGGCAAAGTACGGAACAAATATTTTCTATATTTCATAAATATTGCGTTTTTGCAAATATACTTGTGCGAATATTTAAGATGATGACACTAGTGTTTTGCTGTAGTGTTTTGGAGGAAATATAACAAATATTGAAAATATTCTGCAAGTTTAGCAAATGTATTTGCAAATACCCGATAGCCAATCACAAGTACCGCAAATATTTTGTGAATATTCGTGTTTCTGAAGATTATGCGTAACTCAAGAAAAAAAATCCAAGAAAACGCTTACCACGTAGCATTTATATTGAAGTTTAAGGCGTCAAGTAAGCGCCAAAACTACTTGAAGTAACCAAATGTCAAGTTAAATCAATCCAAATTTACTTCAAGGCATTTTTCTACTTCAAGTAGCTTTGGCGCTCACTTGGCGCCATAACTTTCTATATAAATACAAAACATTCAAGTAGCAAAAATCAACTTTTATAAGCGCCAAGAAAGCAATTTAATCTACTTGGATTTTTTCTTGAGAAATATTGTGCTAATGTACACGAAGAGCATAAATATTTGATATTTTGTACTTTGCCCCTAGGCTTCTCGCCGCTGATAATATTTCGCCATTTTCATCACATTACTCTGATGGAAGCGGAGCGATAAGACGTAGAAGAAGAAGAAGGAGAAAAAAAAAAATTATAAAACGCACGATAAATTTTTCATTATTAATATTAATCAAAACAATTAGGGAAGAAGAAAAGCGGAACTTCGTGGCAACGGTAAAAGCAGCAGTAACATTATCGACAGGTATGAGGCGCTTGTTATTGTCTGGAAAAGACTAACAAGAAAAACACTTACTCGCACATAATCGTAGTATTGTCGTAATTTTTTTCAGACTTTTTCTTTAATATTCCTTCGCAAGAACTGGAGTGTGTTTTGAAACCCATAAAATATGATTCAATAAATTTCTTTCAATATTTACATAGAGTAGATTTATGCTGGCGATATGTGAATGCATACGTGTGTGACTAGAAATGTATGCATGGACGTGTGTGGATGTGGAGCCAAGCATCAATCAGCCTCACTTAATATATGGCAAAAAAAAAAATGGAATTTCCTCTTTTTTCTCTCACTTTGTACTGTTTGTAGCCTCCAATCGGCATTCCAACATTCTGTATCCTTCATCCACAGTTATTGTTTCAGGTTTGATGTTTTTATTCATAGCCTTTTCGCAGATTAGCAGCCCAATACAAGCAACAGACAGAAATGACAGTATTTCTTGTTCCTTGTCGGCAGTGTACACTGTACACTGTGCCTTAGAGTTTAGGCAAAAGGGAAAATAAAAAAAAAAGAAATTGAGGAGGGGGGTGGTTTGATTCCAAAATGGAAAATATGTAATGAAAATGGAGGGAATATGGAAAGTCAAATGAGCATAATATCCGCATTCAAACAAACATTGAATAAAAAAAAAGAAATATGAAAGAAAAAACGGAATCCTCAATGTAATTCATGAATTATACGTTTCTTATCCTCACGCTATAAATATACAATGATTTAGATAATAAATTTCTCTGTTGGCTGAGCGCTGCTTTTGAAAGACAAGCCAGCAACACTGTAAGCGACGGTTTCTCGAAGTTTTTGTTGTCTTTTGGAGCGAATAAATATAATATAAACATTCATATCCGACTGCATGTCATGAACAAAACCAACTCAATTCAAAAATGAGTGGCATCCTGAGCGATTGATATGGTATTATTCATATTATATTGGTGTTTCGTGTATGTTTTACATTTTAACTCATTTGTTCACTTTTTTGTCGAAGATAGATAGAGCAGGAGAGGAGCATCCTTACAAAACATCGGTCACCAACAATTCAACATTTTTCGCTAATTCCTTTCCACTTTTTCGCTTCCGGTGCAAGTCTCAATCATTTAAACCCCTTTGTCATACCGTGGTCTCTATATTCATGTACCATAATGGGGATGCCGGTTGAACAAGATAAACGGCGACAGTTCGACACAAGGGGAATAACTTACTTTATTTGGACAGTGAAGAGCAAACATGAACAAAACCGAGCGCAGATTGAAAAAAAAAAATGGATGAGCATTTACAGCGAGAGAACGAGAAAAAAAGAATAATGTTTGAAATGGTGAAAGCCCACGATGAACGTACGCACTTTGGCATTCCAACAAGCGATACGATGACTATTCTTTACCACTTTACTTTTGCTATATTTCGCTAACTTCTGTTTTCAGCCACTTACTCAATAAACGTTTGGAATATTAAAAAGAATAAATTTATTTGGGAAATAACACTTACAATACCTAAAATACAATTGTACATTTAATAATTTGTTAAATGTGTATTTATTCAATCTAATGTTGGAACGTAAAGCGAACAATGTCATGGCACATCTGTGACTGCACAGTGCACAATCGCCCATACACCGCAGTCATTCAGAGTGCACACATTTTTGCATCCCAACCTCAGACAGATATACAATAACATAGTGCTAGGCGATTTTTAGTGTTTGCATGTATGTGTGTATGCATTTTTTCCTCTCTTCTATTTGATTTGGCACACAATTTATATGAGTATAAAAAATCCCTCGTTGGCATGGCTTTAGTCATATGATAAATTTGTTTCAATGCACAAGATTTTCTATATTTGCACATAAATTGCAAATCGCTACTATGTCATCACTTCTTTCTCCCTCTATATGTAATGTATGTATATATATGTTAATAAGATAAATGCAAATGAATCGCTTGCTTACTTTTCTTGTTGATCCATAATCTGAGTTCTATTCGCTTTTTTGATTTGGATTTCGCTTTGGATTTCGCTTTGAGAATTTTCTTTGACGACATCTAATTAATCAGATAAAGTTCCAGTAAATAGGATACATCATATAATTTTTAGTTCGTTTGAATTCCAGTTCGTTTCCAGGCTCTTTTGCAACAACATAATTCATAATGTTCATGCAACGCTTCATCATACGTATAATTATAATTTTTTTTTATTTTCTTCTTCTTCTGCTTTTTCTTCTGTCCATTATTCTTATGTGTAAAATTTTGTTCATTCATTTTATTTTCACAACTTTTTCTTGGCAAATAATACTCATTAGTCGCACTACATCGAATTACCCCGTTTTTGTATTGTGGTCGACTGCATTGTGTATTTGGTACTATAGATAACAGCCATAATCATGGTACTATTTTTTGTTGTTGTTGCTGTATATTTTATTTTTCCTTCTTTGTTCAACAATTTGTAATGCAATGTGAAATGGAGTGGCAAATTTCAAATGCTTTCAAGTAGTTTCGATGCAATACATCAAAACATTTCCGTGTGGATTTGTCACACTTGATAGCAGTTAATTTCACCACAGCCAGCACGACGTATACTAATTTCGCAAATTTACAATTTACTATTATATAATTTTGATTTAGAAATGAATGTTTTTCAATAGTTTTCCTACGAAACATTTGTATATCCCATAATTTATATCTATTTGAAATGACTACAGAGTACTGAAACAATTCTCTGATGTCCTGCATGAAATTCAATAACAAAAAACAAAAATAACAGCAGAAGGTGTAAATTTATTGTTACAGTTTTAGTTAGTTGTTGGTGTTTTCAATGAAAAGTGTCCAATGCAAAAAGGCAGAGAGCACGTACATGTATGAGGGAGAGTCAATGTGTGGAAAAGAGGGAGAAATAGAATGAAAGGAACAGAGACAGAGAGAGACAGAGAGAGACAGACAGAGAGAGAGAGAGAGAGAGAGAGAGAGAGAGAGAGAGCGATGCTTGAAAGCCAAAACTCCCACTGAATCTGAATTGTTTGTTTAGTAGTAAGTTATTACACGCTATGAATTGTTTAACATACCAATCTGCTGGATATATATGATTCGGTCGCTAAGATGCACTTAGATTGAATTTTTCGCTATGATTGCGACACCTAATACACAGAATACATAGAATAGATAGAGATAAAGTGAAAAGGAAAATGCTTGTGCAAAAATATGGACTATTATTCAAACGTCTATTTTGCGACAATTTGAATGGATTTTCGTATGTACTGCGTCTGCGTAATGTCCCAAATTAGTTGACTGTTAATCACAAGTTACCCATAAATTTGTATTGGAAAAAGTGATTAGGTGACTGAAATGTCATTTTTTTTGCACAAGGGTGGCAGATAAGATAATGTTTGTATGACTAATAAATAGGTTTTTTTATGCGTTTCCCGGTAAATCAAATCGGATCTCGGTCGAAGGCAAGTATTTTTCTAATCGATTCGTACTTTTCGTCTATATGAACATAAAGACATAAAGTATAATGTGATCCGTATAATGGCTGGATGTTGTTGGTATGTAGCACACTTTCGGGGTCAACTGACATCTTGATAAATTGATAGCTACATCGGCGGCAATACATTTTCAGGCTGTAAATATGAAACGATAGGAAACAAGGAACAAAACACAACTTCCGCAACAGAACCCCACTATTCCCTAATGTAATAACATTTGTGGTTTACCTATAAAATGTTGAAAATAATTTTTATTTGCGACTTGGTCGAGGGTTATTATATTTCAATTATCTTAAGACAAATGTCAGCCAACACTAGAATATTCAATGAATCATTTTGAATTTGCATCGTATTTTCGTTGCTGTTGTAACATTCGAAATATTGCGGTTTCTTTGCTCAACGGCACATTGCTCATTATGATATTGCGTAAAAAGTACGGAGCAGCAACATAAATGTTCATGTTTAATGTATTTTAGTGAATGTTATTCGTTGAACTGTATGTACTCTTACGCCGACAATCATCCAAACATAGATAAACAGTGTCAGGAGAGGAACACTTTCCAAACGGGAAACGATCATGTTTCTTTGGTTTTGTCGGTTCGTTCGTCGTATAGTTTAATTTTCCCTAAAGAAGTTTTGTATTCATGGCGTGAATTTTATTAGCCGCATTAAACTCAACACTTTAGACAAGCTCGCCTGCACATCCTTAAAATGCGAAATAAAACCAAAATTCCAATATAAACAAAATGATTCACGACGGAAATGAAACCGTTACAACAGTTAGAGGGTCGACGGAAAAGAAGTTTTTCATGGCGTTTTTTGTAGTAAAAATACGCTATAATCACATTACTCTCCTTCTCTCGTTCGTTGATTTTTTATTTTCGTTTCGGTCCTCCCGTACCGTGGATACGGTACGAAAGTCGAAAATAATTTCTTCGGATACATGAATATTCCTGCTGTATTGAAGCATTATGAAAAAGAATTCTTGTATATTTATCAAATTTCATGGAATTTGGGCTTGAAAAATTTGACGCTCAGGGAGCTATGATAATCGTTGCTATTTGGACTGATACCGAGCGCTTGAAATATACTCAAGTAAAAATACGGTACAGACATCCTATAAGATAAATGCTTATCTAGAAGGTAGAAGGATGCTCATTTTACAAAAATACAATGAGTATTTGAACTTGAACAGCATATTTTTAGCGCGAATATACAAGCCATACTCAAAAGGAACATTTCCAGCATATAATCTGTATCGTATTTTTACTTGAGTATCATCAGAGTTGGATGCTCTAATATAATTTACTTTTCGCCTGTTTAGGGATAGTGCGTTACGTATAGCAATAATAGCAGTAATAATAATAACAATGGGATTATTAGTCGAGCAACAGATAGTATAGCGACTTGACTGTTTCATGCACATAGATCAAATCTTTGGTATAGTATCAGAATGTTTGGCAATGAGATTCCCGAAAGTCGCGCACAGTACATAAGAACTAATGCAAAATTACAATTAATGTTGAGAAAAAGAAGAAGCAGAATTAAACATTCTATACATTTACATTGCAATAATGGCAATCAGTAAAGATGGTGCTCATGTGCCGATCAAATCACTGTTACAGCCCTTTGAAGATTCCACCATTTCAAGAATAGGGATTCTTGTGATCTTCATCGCCTTCTTTTCGTTACATCAAATCATTTACTCAATCTATCACATGGACATGATGGTAAAATTTGGGTTCAGTTTCAGAGCACTCACTATTTTGTTGTGCGAATTTTTTTCGCAATATTCTTGTTGTTATTGTTGCTGTTTCGGTTCAGGTTTATTTTGTTTAGGGCTTGAAAGAATTAACGAGCGATGAGCTTCATAGTTCTTAAGTTTTCTGGTTTGGGAATACGCTATACATCTCACTCAACGATAAAATGATAAGTTCGAAAGAGTTATTTCTATCATAATTATTACAGTTCTTTTTCATTATGTTTTTGGTTTTCCGTTCGTTCGCTTTAAATTGCTAATTCAGCCTTTGCGTGTATGTAAAATGTACGATAGGAATTGGGGAAAAATTCATTGTTGGTTGGATCCATTTCATTAATTTCAATTATCTTATATACAATGCGATGTATAAGTTTGACATTTGAGTTTTTCCATTTATAAAAGTTGTTGATTAATCCTGAAAACTATGTGTGTGTGTGTGTGTGTGTTTGCACGCGCGTGCGTGTGTGTATCTGTGCTGTTCAATGCAATATGTTTTTTGGTCGTAGCGCAAAATTATGTGCTGATGTATTGAGCATATATACTCATAACTAAATAATGAAATCGAATTTTCTTTGCTAGATTAAATGTGTTCATGTTTATTAAAGCATAAACGTCTATTCATTTGAATTCCGCAACTCTTCAAACTTACGGAATATTTTATAAATGACACATACAGTTACAGTACTGGATTTTATCAACAGTTGACAGATGATGGAGATTTTAGCTTGAACATTGCGTATGCGGTGTGGTGTTTCTGTTTCCTGTTTGCCTGCCTGATGTGCGCTTCATTTTATTGAAATGAACTTTTCAAATGCTTCAAAATGTATGTTCACAGAAAGTTGAGCATTTATTTGTGTAATTCATGATGTTTGAATACGTTATTCAAATTTCCGCTCAAATGTGCACATCAGCAAATTGTTGAAATACGGCTACACCAATCTAATCTTCTTTTTTTTTCATTTCAGCTTCAAATGAGAGTGGTCATTTTGAACGGCACCGGTGGATGAGCAATGAACATTCATGTGAATTGGAGAGGATGATTTTTTTATGCTGTTCATCGCTGACCACTTACAAACTAGCTGAAAACTCGACATTTCTCTCATTTTCCCTCATTTGTATGTGATAATTTAATTTCAAAAGTGGATATTATATTTGGATATTTCAATAGGACATTTTTTAGAGTCTAGTGACTAAATTGTAGCTTGATGTTTGAGTATATTTGTGGAAATTGTACGAATTTCCGTTTATCAGGGTCCATGTGTGTAACACCCAAAATAACAAGGACGATTTATCCCAACCAAATTTGGAATCGTTCTGCTGCACCATAGATGTCAACATGACAAAAAATCTCTGTTGTACGTGAATCACATTTTGAGATGGTCAATTGGTTGAACTTGCTGTTTTATTCTATTTTCCTGTCATTCGGCTTTAATTTATTTCATTTTATTTCTTATGTGTGGGATTTATTATTTATTTGTTTTGTGAAACTGTTCAACTGTAAAATCACTCGAAAATATAACTACATTAATCGATGAAAACGAAATGCAACGACAAAGCTCTGTGGTTTGTTTGGCTGTGTTGATTATTATAATTTATTTAGAACATCTTCATTTTTGGCATGGTATTGTCGAAAGGTTGAGAGAAAAATGTTTGACGCACTTAAAAAACCGTGATAAAGTCATCATCATCGTCGTCTGAGTCATCATAGTCCTCGTCATCTTCGTAATCGAAATAGCGACTCTGTAACAAAATAAAATGTTGTTGTCAATCATTTGTGTGGGCCTGGGCATCAATTTAGCGGACACAAAATGATTTACTAATGGTAATTTGCCGATTGGCCAGAAATTGATTTTGAATGCACTCTATGTCGATTATTAGTATTCACATTCGTTTTCATTGGCACTGAATGCTTAAATTCTTCGATACGATGCGGAAAAATACATTTGTGCGGCAAGACAATAATCATCGACATCACTCGCATAAAATAAAGGGCTTGTAGTAAAAAAAAAAACATGTATGATTTGATTACCTGACATTCCAAGCAACGACAACTATTGCTTAGAGTGCACGAAAGTCCCAGAAATCGTACGGCTTCTTCATATATTTCCGCATCACTGTTTTGAATGAGGTTTTGAAAAGAATTGAGAGAGAAACGTAAGAAATTTCCAATTTGTGAAACACGACAGATACAAGAGAACGGAAAATATGGTAAATTTTGGAAAACTTACGTGATCAAATCGTCAAAGCGTTCCACTTTGTGCTCATCTGTAGTGGAAGTGCAGTTCCAATTATTATTCAATTTGTCGTTTTCTTCGAGGAATTCCCAGCATTTCACCTTTTTCTTGTGTAAATTCAAGTACTTTTCGGGTTTAGCTATACAGTGGCGGTGAATGGTTTGCACATTGCCATTGTTGATGCCAACATCCACACCAACAGCGAATGTCGTGTCGACACCAATTGTGCCGCTAATCGCTTTAATGCTGTTTTCCCGATCCTCACAAAATAACGTATGATCCCGATTCAATGAAATGGTGGCTGTTGTATTGCTATTCACATCGTTGCTCTGACTATAACTACTGCTACTGCCGCTACTACAACTAATGCCATTGGTGTTGATTCTGTCTTTTGATTTCACTCTCGCTTTTGCTGCTTCAGACTTATTTAATTTTATCGATGTTATTTTATTTATTGCACGCCCTGCTGGTGATCCGAACAAGTTTATCATGTCAATTTCCTGGAAAATTTATTTTTTTTTTGTTCCATTATTATTCATTCACCTAAAATATTTGTATTTTGCTCCATCTTCTTCAACCGGACGAGCGTCGATAGTGACTATCGACTCACAAAAGACGATAAAGCAAACACAATCGGTAGCAAATATATCATTACCGGAAAAAAAAAACCTAGTACTACCTACTCAAACAAATACACACATCTATTCACACACTCACACAAATTCCCGTATATATCGTGCTGGGCCAAATTCTCTATTGACTATTGCCATATTGATTTAGACGAGAACAATTTCATGTCTTATTTAGTGTTTTTTGTACAACACTATACGATGAAGCTGCAAATTTAATAGATTTTTAGGCAACCGAACGTACGATAAAGCTCAACCGTGCTGTGGCATGATATGCTGTGATATGCTACGATGGCACGATGTGATGAGGTGCCACTACTGATGCTGTTGCTATTGCAGCAAATCACCATATTGGATGTGACCATTGTAGAATATCGCGAGTTCATGCATATTTACACAGCTCTTGTCGGCTGTTGTGTATCGTTCATTGTTCATTGCTGTCTCCTCCATTTACTGATTATCAATACGTAGTTGTATGGAGTTTTATCATATCTCGCTCCTTCCACCTGAATATGTTTTCGCTTCATGAATACGCGAAAATGTGAAAATTGTAGTCATAATATATCTATTTGAAATCTATTTACGTAATTCATTGGACGCGCACATTGTACCTATGATGGCATGGTCTTGTTGACGCAATCGGCAGCCAAATTGCTTTCAGGCGCATTGAAAGCAACTTCCACTAAATTCATTTCATCGCTTTTGCTTTCGAACGCCATGGAAAAAGTGTTAGCGCTGGCAACATCAATTTGGCAAGTGTTCGGCTTGCTGATTGGATTTGAGTGGTGAGACAATAATGGTATTGTGTGGTTTCAAAAACGCAATTCTCATTCTACCAATTACCCTCAACCACCTTCCCCACTCATCCATCCTCATACTCTCACACTCCCGCACTGTAGTTTCGCCTTCTTAATATATGAACAATTTTTACAAACACAAATTGAATCGTATGAACGAAGTCGTATGGAACATAAAATCCCACTAATTAGGCGAATATACTTTGTGTCACGTTCAGATTGTAATTAATCTCAGATCTCTAGATGTGAACCACTCCATTATTGATTGTAGCTGTAGTTTACATATTGTAATTTTAACTCATTATGATTTCCAAGTTTTTCACATGTGAACCTGCAAAGAACTAAAGACACCAACGAATTTCAAGGAGCACCGCTGTACCGGTATGATGTGCAACATAAGTTTGAAAGCGATACAGGCAATTGGTAGAGTGTGTGATAATGATTTCTACAAATGCATGCCCATTTTGTAAAGTGGCGTAATATATTTAAATATACGTCGTTAATATGATGTGCACTCTTTTTCGGCTTAATGACTGGGTTTATACGCGTTCAACCGATTGTAATTCGCGAACGGCGTGCATCACATACATGTGGCAACAGTGCTTGAAAATAATCGTTCAAACATTGATTACATGATCAACATGTCAACTTCAACGATTTAATGAAATAGACACCGAACACTGCTTACGACAGGTTTCCTAACAAACAGATCGTTTCGCATAGTTTTTTATCTCTTTTTTATCTCTATCCCACTTTTTCCCATTCATCAGCAGACGAAGCTATTTAGCTTTTTAAGCACCATCCAATCAATAATTTTTAATTCGAGTCTCGAAATATGAAATGACAGCTAAGCTTCCCTCACAATTAAACGCTTCCGACATATTTTCCGAATGTCGAAAAACGCTAGTTCCATCCCTTCTCGAGAGCACAAGTTTTGTCCATGTTGGCACACTGTTAACTGTACCGAAATGAAAACCGAAACACTACTCACTCTCAACGAAAAACATATTAAAATTGTTGGGTTCCTTGCATTGACTTTTTAAATCCATTTATTGGTGCAAAACTGTGACATCGATGGAAAACTAGAGATCGACTTATAAGCGAAATGAAGGAAAAATATAGCAAATATGTGATTTTTTGCAAAAGACATTACATCGCTTTCGCTTTGAGTTTGATTTTCAGTGTGGCCCATTTCTCTTCTATATTCATCTCAAATCTCATCCACCAAGCGTACGGAAATACATCATAAAATCATAATAATAGATATATATTACTTCATAGATGCACGTTTATTCGGATCCTATTTTTGATATCATAGTAAATACGTCAATGCTGTTTTATTAACGGATTCCATTTCTCTCACACACTCTCTTTTCTTTTCTCTACAATGGGGCCGACGGAGACTTCACGTTTGCCATATTATTTCTATCATGACAGTATAGGCCGCCATTTACGCAGCCGATTTGTGAAAATCTATAGCATATTTCATTTTATATTTACTGCTTTTAGCTTTCATTAGTATCTTTCAAAAATAATATGTGCATTGTGCATTGCACAATGTGCAATAAAGTTAACAATATCATTGATTCTTTCAATTAAATTATCTGATACCAGTCAGATGATTTTCAGTCATACATGCCTTTGAAATCGTGCTGTGATATGACGCGAATTCATGAATTTTCAAATTAATTTTGTCAACAAAATTGAATTATTTCAAAATGTGTTCAGTGCACCATCGTAATGCGGTACCACACAAATTTCCACAAACTAGCATTTCGTTGTTAATGCAGATATCAACAAAAAGAAGTCAGAAAGTTAGAGTCAGAGGGAGAGATAAACATCTCACATTACATATGAACGAAAATGACGTGAGAATTCTGTTAAACAATTTGTACTAACTACATGAGCTTCTTTTTTCTTCTTTGAGCACAATCTTTAGCCACCTCTGTTATCATTTACAATGCGCGTCTATCGCATTTATCGTTTCGATTGCCAGATAATTGGCCCATCATCGTTTCATAGTCCAATTAAAAAATTTTGTGGAATATTCGCAAAATTTTCGGCATAAAATCGGAAAGAACGCCAGAATCGTTCTTACACTGGGCGCTAAGATGCCTTGCTGAGGTACTAGTTATAATATCTGATTAATTGAATTTCTGCCGTTTGGAACAAGTAAATTGTTTTGGTTTCGCTCTTATGATATCTACATAGCGCACGCATGCATTTTGCTTGAACAAACAGAAAGACTATAATTGTCGTCACTTTTCTCGTGACGTCCATAACATACATAGGTACTCCTGGAAATCAAATCGTATTTGTTTCAATTAAAAACGAAATAGATAGCGGCCTAATGCCAATGATGGTGAAAGTAGTAGAAATAGTACTAGGGGCTTCTGACTATAATTAACAATGTTCAAGTGGCTGCATAGTTGGCTCTTATATACCATGAGCAAGAATATCCACCCAAGAGAAACGGCCAATATGTTTATACGCTGTCTATCCGCCGAAAATGCACTACAATATATATTCACGCTTATTGAACGCCGAATTGAATATATATTCTAGTGTATATTTGGCGTATTCTTCGGCGTGAAACATATTCAGGCGGCTATGAATGCATTCGTTGATTCAATATGTTTCACGCTGAAGAATACACCGAAAATACACTAGAATATATATTCAATTCGGCGTCCAATAAGCGTGAATATATATTGTAGTGTATTTTCGGTGGATAGACAGCGTATAAACATATTGGCCGTTTCTCTTGGGCATAATAATTTGAAAAAAAAAAAAAAATTGAGACAATTGCGAATAGTTATATAGAAGTCATGCAACCTTTGTGTATTCCTTATGTTCATTTTTCAATAGAAATAAACATTTTCCCCATTCTTGATGACAACAACGAGGAAGATAACTTTGTTAGCTCACGTTTAACTTATACCTTTCCGCTTTTCTGTCCGTTGGTCCTTCTTTGAATGCCTGTTTGTTGTGTCAAGTGAATGGGGCACACCGATCATAGGCATCCACAATGTGATTCCACATTTCCACAGCCGAATGAATGAGATAAATTAATGTTCTGTAAACCCCTGATTAGCACAATTCATAAACATAGATACACACGCACTGTTTCACATTCACTTAAACGTTATATTGCACGGATATGAACATATCCATAAAGTGTACACGCTGTTATGGTAAACCGATGATTTAATGGAACATAAATTGACAGATAGAAAGGTTAAAGGTCACATAAGAAACGAGGCGAGATTCAAGGCAATACGAAGAAAACAAAAGAAGCAACAACCGCAACAGTGGCAGATGGAATCAAGGCGAAACGCAAAAACATTCATAAACATAAAGCTCTATGCTGTCCGACCACGCACGCATACAAAAATACACCGCATCCACCATATCTCTCGTGTCTTATCTCTATCTTATAGCTGACGGGCTAAATAGATAATAGCTAATATAAGTTACTTACTGTATATCCGTAACTAGTATCGGATATATAGATATTTTTTTCACTCTCGGAGAACATTCTATCCATATCTGCAACGAAAAAGAAATGAAAGCAAAAACAGCCATCATTATGTGAAAAAATTCGACTAAGCAAAGCTAACTCTCCCCCTGTCTTTCCATTTCTCGATATCAATGTGCCACAGCTTAGCAAAAGCACTATTTTGATGGGTTCAATTAAATATTATATGTGTATACAGTAGTACATAAGTCTCAATTGATTTGTTCGAAGCAAGCGGTTGATTGATAGTTTTCGTTTCGATTGTGATTTCAACACCTTTGCCAATGTATACTAATGCGCTTTATATGTAATAAATGTATGTAACACGATGAAAACCAATCATCAGCTTCATCGCTCCGTTTACCATTTGCGTTTTGTAGATATTTGCATGTGATCAATTGCAATCGCATCCGTTTCCGATCAAATGTCATCCCACAACCAAATGGCAAAGGTTTTGGAATATTGAGATACATGGAGATGACAGAAAAAGGTTTCACTGAAACCTTTCATAAGCCTATGTCGAGGCCAGCCAAAGTAAGCGGTAAAGTTTTTATGCTTACGTGAGACATGTGAATGTGACTGTGTGCTGTGATTAAATGGCCTGAATGTAAATAGTGACATCAATTAGATGCCGTTAGAATCGCAAGTGGACGCATCGGTGATTCACATTTCGAAAGGATGGCAAAAATGAAAATGGTATTTCCGCTATACGCTCAGCTATTAAACTCTCAAACTTATTTGCCACTTTGCCGCCCCCGATGTGAAAGTGAGTTATACATTCTATGTTGCACAAACAACATTCCTCGAAACGAAGTCTCATAGGTCATGTTGGCATTTGTTCGAATTATCTATGCTATTCGAACTGAAGATTCGAACCATTTCGATAAGAAAATATCCTTTCGATTTTACATGAAAATTTGCCTCAACGTCAAATCAAACGGTACCCGTGGAAAATAGTAATCGCCGAGCCACTGCACAAAAAAAAACCAAACTTGAAACACAAGGACGAAATGATTTACGATTACATTGCCAATGTGAAGCGATCCATTCAATCTAAATTTATGAATGATAATTCTTTGTGTACACAGATGGATTGTCTGAGCTTTTGGAATATAAAATTGGAGTAGATCTACCAGGAATACAAGATAATTTATTTTCGGTGCGCTACTTTTTTGTACTCTGGGATTTTTATCTCCAGCTCAGTTTTGTGAAATAATTTCATAGTCATAGAAGAGTATAGAAAGCTTAAGCGAAAGCAAAAGCAAGGCAGTTGGTTGAAACAACAGCGACACCACCACCACCAACAACAACTGTAAGAAGCGTGACGAAAATGAGAATAGATCTTTCATTCGGATGAAAAAATACTCACCGAACGGGAGAGGAAAAAGTGGGGGCTATATCGACTATAACGGTACACAAACAAACGTATACTTACACAACAGATAAACATTTACGTTTTAGAAACACATACCGATTGAAGCAATATTCGTTGTTGAGTGTTTGTTTTGATGCTGATTGTGGGTACTCCTTTTCTGTGTAAATAATGATGAACAAAAAAAATCATTTCTATGTGTCCTATGATTATGTTGACACATTTCTGTATCACATTCGCACCAATTGGTTATCCATAAGGACAGCAAACCTATGAAAGAGATAAAAGAAGCAAATGGCTAAAATAGAGAGAAGGGAGTTTTCAAATAAGACAGTAGCACAAGAAATAGACATAAAAGGAGCGAAACGATGCAAGAGAGACAACGAGTACGAGTAAGCAGCGAGTAAGTGAGTGAGTGATAGAAATAAAAGTAAATTTTTCAATTGATAAACATGCACGAGTATTGAAGATAGCTGGTAGACGAATGGTATTTGTATAATGTGCATGGCTTAGTTTGTTATGTACTGCATACACTGTTAAGATTGTGTCATATGAATGCCCTATGTAATCTCAATATAAATAGTATCAATCCAATGAATAAACGTGTACAGTGGTACTATATTCACTGCTCACATATCACATGCAATTTGTCGAAAAATGAAAAGGCAAAAGATACAACTTGAGCGGCAAAGAGGAATCAGCAGTAAAACGACAAAGGGCCCATAAAGAAAGATAGCTGGAATCAATGTTAAATCAATGGCAAACAGCTTGTAGCTGAGATCAGGAGGAGAAGCGAAAATAGAAGAAAAGTGAAGTGATGAAGAGAGTAAGGTTACAGGGAATGTGGGACTGAGCTGAACGACCGAGAAAAGAGGTTGCAAATATGTATGCATGAGAAAGTGAAAAAGACACACATTGAAAATAAAAACCACGTTTAGTATTTTGGGTTAACGGCATTATTGTTGTTTTTATTCTCTGGTGAATGTGATGGGGTTCTCTTAAAGAGTTTTGTTTTAATTTTATCGGGACCTGGAATGTGCGCCCTTTTACAATCAAAGAAATTATGCTTTCCATTTGGTACGTCTTTATCACGTTGTGTACGATGTACCGTTATAGTTTTAAGTGTAAAGCACTCACCATTCCAAGCCTTCACAATTCGCCGACGCAATGAATGAAGCTCGCACAAATGGGTTCTCTCAATAGCAACCGCATGATGCAATCGACACCAAGTCAATAGTTTTTTATCCACTCACTCGGTCACATACACTCCCTCTCTCTGTATTCACTCATGAGCTTGAATTCTAGATCCAATCTTAAAACGATGGCCGACGATTTTCGGCACATCAATGAAGATATCCACACATCACAAGAGCACCCAAAACAAAATAGAGCGAGCTAAATTTACTTCCGTCGAAATTTTATGAAATCGACTTAGAAGGTAATTGAATCGCATAATCCGGTTTACCCCGCATCTGAAATTGCATCGTTTTAGTTTTAGACGTCTTCGCTTATACCTGCAATTGTTCCCAATTCGACGAGTTTTCATTTATCGACTTCGTTATTTCGTTGTTGGACCACAGATGGAGGGTGGTAGATAGAACGAGAGAGACAGCTTTACACACACACACACACACACACACACAGAGAGAGAGAGAGAGAGAGAGAGAGAGAGAGAGTAAAAAAACATTGTGTGTGCGAAGGATGTCGAGTTGGTTATTGTTTTTTTTCTTGAATAAATATGTTTGTATTTAGTATGTGCTCATGTGTTGAGGCGCCGCAAACAAATTGGTGCCAGTCTGTCGGTGTTGTCACGGCGCCAAAAAATATTTATTGGACTCGATTCGTATATACTGAAATTGTTGTGGTAGTGGTGGCGTCGACGGAAAATTTCGAACTGGAAATCGTAATGCTGGATACTTAGGCTTCAATCAACTTTGATGATTGTAGTTACATGGCAATGATGTCATACATATCTGTTTCGTAGAGCTTTTGTGTTTTTTCTCGATAGTATTCAAACGATTCGGTGATGTGAAAAGCAGTTTGAAAGGCGACCAAACGAGGAACGCTAGTCGTTTATGATGCGTCGCTTTCAACATTTTCCATTCAGTCTTTTCTTTTTTCGTGCAGTCGCTTTAGTATGTGACAAATGTTGCGCACAATTCGTTTTGAAGCGTGGAAGCTTTACCCGATGTTTTTCGCGTTAATAATTTTCTTATTTAACTTATTATGGATGCTATATTGCAAATGCTAATGACGAAATGTACTTCTGTCGCTGAACGACCAAAATAGATCGCACCAAAGAATTTCAAACTTGTTGAACAATGAGGAAGCAATTGTAGCGTTGAAAGAATCTACTGATATGTGGTGAGAGTGTGTGTGTGTGTGTGTGTGTGTGTGTGTAATATTGCTAATGGTTTCACTTGAATGCGCAAAATATGAAGTGACATGACGTAAAAATTGATGCGAAGAAAAATGAAATGATTCATATATACAAGGGGTCCAACCATAAACATTCAATATAGTAAACAACAATGTTCAGAATTTATCACATTTTTACAGGTTGGAATAGTGTTTGATTGTGGTGAAAAATCGATAAGGGCTTTCTTTAATTGACTTTTCAGCATAATGTGTATCATAATTACGTGAAATCATTTGTAGCTATGGGCCAAAGTAAACCGCTTGATTTGAAACAAATTGATTTTCTTCATACGAAATGCAACATTTCAATCGCTACAGTTAATTAAGCTATAGTGAGTCAATCATTTTTTAATTTTTCGTATACAGAGAAGTTGTACGACAGATTGGCGATTATTTGTTATTTACCTACCCCTGGAATGAGGACTTGCGAAAAGTCCAAACCACAATAAAATTTTATTTATGGATATGTATTTTGAGGTAAGAAGTGGCACGAACGAATCGAATCAAGTTGTACATCAGTAGACAATGCACGTACTTTATCGATTCGAAAAGAGATAATAGTAATAATAATAATAGAGTGTGAGGAAACAGGCAGTAATGTGGTTGATGACTTAACGGTAGCCGATGTAAAAACGATTCACACCACGCCGTAGCAAAGATATCGGCGGCAAACAATGCAATAAATGTGAATGAGAAAAAGAAAACTCTAAGAAATGAACGTTGATGAGGTTTTTCTACTTTTGCACTTTCCCATTCCTGTTGATTTCAGTTACTCCGCAATTTACAATTTTCATCTTCTTCTTCATTTTCTTCTCATTCATTTTCTTTTCATGAATTGCCTTTCACAATTCTATGAAGCGTGCTATGTGTGAGTTCGGAATTCAGTGTCTCATTGTTTTTCTACCGTGAGCATACCATTGGTGTTATGCCTTTGTACATGAGTAAGCGAGACGTGATTGACTTCCGTTTTTATGGAGGAATCCGACCCCGAAAATTGCCATTCAAGCACATCCAAATTCAAGGTGCTTGCCAACCGTGTATGTGTGACTGACATAATTTTCATTTACATTTATATTTTGTCTCTGCCATAGCGAAGTGTTCTCGGAACTGTATTCTCATGAATATGTATATATGTATATGTATATGCATGCCAACCATCACGTATCGTCTCAAATATGCATATGAGATTGCGTTGAGAGCAAGAGCACAAGCTAACATTGTGTGTCATCACACCACCTAACAATTAACTCAATATAGTTCTTTGATTATTTTATTACGCCACAGCGATGATAAAAATAATGATTCCGATCAGGCATGGTGCTGTTCCGAATACGTAAAAGTGTGAAACAGGTGGAAAGCATTCAACTAATTCAGTATAACAACACAATTACAGTTCATTTTTCTTTCTCTTTCTATCTATCTTCATCAGTCAGTATATTATAGTAGTATATTAGATACGCCTCGATACACACTGTAAAAAATATTTGCAATGGTGAACGGTGTCGTGCACACCAAATTGTATGTATGACGTGAGCAAATGCTCACCGACAAACCAACAGACCAAATAAAACCGAGTGCTTTTTAATTATCCAAGCAAAGTTCATTAGTTCGTGCGCGATAATTTAATGTGTGCAAGAAAGCCCTTGCGTTTGATGTCCTTTTACTCCCATAACAATTGCGTTCTGTCATAAATGCGGCCACTGCTAGTCTGTACTTTGGTGTGTTTATGTTTGCGTGTGCATAAATATTTTTATTTTCTCGTGTTTTCATTACTGACGCGCGCATAAAATGTTGCTCATGAAATTGTTGATTCACAAGAATAAAGAGCATCAGAACATTAATTTTTGGTGCGGATTTATTTGCATACGTCGCTTAAATTGACATAACCATTTGCTGTTCTCTGATTTTGGATCCAACAAGTCACGATAACAACCCTTAGGATGGATCTATGGAATATTCACTTAGAAGCGGCTCCATGAAAACTTCTTCTTGACAGTAGTTATTCTTTCATTCTTCACACTTCATTCAGTGAATAGCTCGAAGACTCCGTCCACATGGGTATATAATATTACTATATATATATCCACAACATTCCCGATGGTGAATTCATTAAAAGAACAGTACAAACTGGTAATAATTCTAATCAAATGACACCATTGAAACTGTACGCAGATATACTTTGAACTTTTTCGGAAATACTAGGTACATAATATATACCAGATTTGCTTAAATCTGTGATTTCTTTTATTTTTCTTGAATTGACATCTCATAAGTAGAGTAAGATATGCTTACTGATTTGGTCGAAGAATTCACAAAAGCCTAATCTGTACAAAAATGTCACGAGGGTCTTAATCCCTTCTGAGCGTATGAGGCCAAACAGAAGAAAAAATACGAAGAGGAATAATGGAAGAATAGTAATAATGAGAAGAAACGGAGGAAGAAGCGAGTAGTTTTCTAATCAATTGGAAATTTTTTGTCTCCATCTCCATAGTGCACGAATGTTTGTGTTCATGTACACGACAGTATTCAAAGTGTATTCATTATATATTCGTTACTATTATGGGTGAAAATGTAATTAAAATCAATATACGCGTGCGTTTCCACGGTTTACAGTATGAATACATCACATCCAAGGAACAGAGAAGCGCGAGTCAACTTTGGCACAGATACACAAAGGGAAGAAAACATACAGTTGCACAAAATGTGATATGTTAATATCATCTTAATATCATAATATCGGTATTAATAATATTTTGATATTAACGCACAACTGTAAGAAACATGGAAATTGAACTCTAATAAAGTGCGTTGAGCACGCTGTAATTGAAAATTTAAGCAAATGCAAAGAGGCACGCAGAAAAAAAGCAAAAGATCCTATCGCATCATATCCTCATTAAAAAAAAAAGGGCAGTCAGCTACAGAAACGTACCCTCATCCGTTGGATGCAACAATGGAATATCAAGTAAGAAAAAAAAAACAACGTTAAATGCGAGTTTATACACCAAGTTCACATAGGACAGACATACCAAAATCACCGCCTGAACACAACGAAATGAACACAAAGAAAAATATGTATAACAAAAACAATATTCTGTGTAATTTTTGAAAAGGAACCAAAGCTAATTTGGTTTTTATTCAAAGATTTTTCACTTTGGCATCTTAACTGACAGATTCAATCTCTTGCTTAACTTTTTCTATGGCAAACATATTATCTCTGGGGTATAAGGCGCGTCAACTTCTTTAGCCTCTGAAACGACAACGATACAAATAAACACGAATAAGACATATCCCTCGGCCCAAATGAAAGTTAGCAAACAGCCGAAGTACATTTGATTTTAACACCAAGCAAAAAGTGAAGAGAAAAAAAAAAAGACGGGAAAATATAGCGAAAAACTACAGCTAAAGCTTGCCGCGCGAAAAGATGTTTTCTTCATCGTTTATTTGCCACAGATGATTCTCTTCAGTTGAAACCATCCATATATTAGTGGCATTCTAAACGAGCCGCGTTTTCATTTGTTCGAGTTTCATATCGTATCGCATCGCATCGCCCATTTGACTTTACATTTCGAATCTCATCATAATCTCTTACTTTGTTAACAATTATTCTAATTCCTTACATAAAAGTTATTGCTAATATATGTATGTGTACGCGATTGACCTACCACATTTTTATGTCCCTGCAATACAACATTTTATTTATGCTGCTAGATGTTAATATGCTGTTGTTATGGAAGTTTTATTTCATTCTATTTTATTTTTTGCTGGCTATATTCATTGTTTCAATTTTCGATGAATACTCACTTTGGAGTCGTTTGTGCTAAAGAAGAAACTTTCAAAACAAAACCGAAGAAATGCCACAGAGCTGGCATAAAGAGAGAGAGCATTGCGTTGGCATAAAGCAACGCGTATTATAGCAAAGCAATAGCAGCAGCTGAAAAATGCGTACACCCAAATAACTACAGAATTCTTAAAATAATCATCATTAAGCAAGGTTTGCTCAGTTAATGCCAGCCGAACGTTTATTCAATTATTCATGAATATCATAATAAAAACAGCACATAGCGTTAAAAATAACGGCCTAATGAAAATGTATAGGTTTGCAATGTTATTGTTTTGTCGGAGGAGGCAATGTTTCATGTTTAAAAAGCACAACGCATTTTTCCAGAGTTTTTTTTGTTGTTTTCGTCATTGCAAAATACATTGTTGCGTGTTTATAAAGTCAGCCTCAGTCACACAGTCAGTCCCCATAGCGAACGAAAGGGTTCCGCCGTCATTTATCCTCTCAATACCATTGAACGCCAAATGAACAGACCAAAACTTTTATCATTCAACTCTTTCGTTTGCCGTCGTTTTTCTTAACGCTAGAACGGTTATTATTTAAAAATAAGTAGCAAACCAAACCAGCTATAGAAAAAGTTTGAAAGCGTTGAAAAAAATTCCGTTATGATGTGACTTTTTTAGCCATGCCGTTGTAGATTCATTGAAAATTGAATGCCACTTGCATACTCTGGGCTGGCACATTCATTCGCACAGAGAGAGGAAGAGAGAGAGAGAGAGAGAGAGAACATACAGTTTCTATGGAAAATTGTATTGTTTATTGTCGAAGGTATTTTATTGCGACAATATATGGGATCCAACAGAATGAAATGTACAGAATGTGTTGTGATGTAAGAGTGCTATGTGTTTACTGTATGCTGAAATTTTCCGAATAACTTACTGTTCTTTAATTCGATCCACGTTTTGAAGCCTTTTTTCACGATGTCCACTACCGCACCAGATGATGGACCTCTGTGTACAGCACGGTGTATGTGCGTATGTATATATTTTTGCTAACCGAAGTGAAAACACTAAAAAAAAAAAAAATCGAAAGTACGAACGAAACGACAGTGAAAGCAAGAGATCCAATGTGTGGATGTGTAATAAATTCGGAGACTAACAAATTCAACAACCGTAGTGGGAATGTGAAATATAATCCGCTATTGTCAGCAACCACTTGAAAATCATTTATAGATTTGATTGTTTTTGCACTTTTGCACTCTTTTCCTCACTTTTTGAATAATTATTTAAGCATTTGGAATTGTTATGAAGATTTCGATGCCGTTCTATTCGGTTTGTTGGCTGTCTATTGCCCACGCTGTCTGCTGCTTATTATTGTTGAAACTGATTTCAATGCTGATGCTGTTGTTATGGATACTAATATTTATTTTCCACTTTTTTCAATACTTCTGCTGCACGGATCAAGAGCTATTATGATTTGAGTCGAATGCAATGCAAACAAAAACCACTTAAAAATTTCTTCAGATTCGAACACAAAATGAAACTTTTCTTTTCTCACAATATATGTATGTTTTGGTCGATGGGTTTCGTATTTGTTCCCTTCAATTTACCTTGTATTTGAATTCTTTTTGTGGCTTTGTGCTCTTTTTCGGTGTGTTGATTATGTTTTTTGTTCAGAATGTCTTCAGTATTTTACATATTCTATTCTTTAACGCCTACACAATGCTTTCAACTAATGCATATTCTGCGCGCTTCCCTTTCCATCAAGAAGGCTTTTGTTTTGCAATCAACTTTGCCTAAACGGTGTACCATGATGTTGTGACGATGAGGAAAACAAAGAAAAGTCAACAATGAAATGGATCTGAAAATGAATACTACGACCAAAAAAGAGCAAACCTCAAAGGCTGGAAGTATTCGCATATATGAGATGGGCCACTTGGAAGGCAGACTATAACGATAATAATAGTGATTCTGTAACGTTTTGCTTTTGGCACATATATTGTGTAAACGAAATGTCCCTGAAGTCAAAAGAAAATCGTAACTGAAACACGTTTCGAACCAACTGTTCAACGAATAATTCCGTGCGAATCTGGTAAAAAGCAGTGATCGAGGCGGTCGACCAAATGCAACTGTTCCGAAAATTCTTTCCAATTTGGTTTTGTACTCTCGATTGGGTGCTAAACGAGAGGAAAATACGATGTGAAGCGCAAATGTATGTTGAATATATTGAACGGCTGCTGTTACTGCTGATGCTGTGTGTAGCATAGCGAAGCAGGCGTTCAGCGCGATGCGAGATGAGAACCAGCGAGTTTTTGTTTGTTTACACACACTTGCGTCGCATATGAAGACTTGACTAGCACGTACAATCGTTCTAGATAGCTAGAACACACGAGCCAAACGTGACAGTATGGAGCTTCAGCAGCGGGTGAAAAAGGAGCCAAAGCACCTCTGTAACATATTATTCACGGTTCTACATTTTGCTTTGATGCTCCTTTTTGTATTATTCCGTTTGCTTTTTGGTGATGCCGCTGCTACCAGTTTGGTTGGAGTTTTGCTGTTGTCGTTGTTATAGTTGTTGTTTCACGCGCTGGATAATACGTTGATGTGTGAGTGGGTTTGCGTGTGTGCGTGTGTACTGAGTGTGTTTATATGTGTATGTGTGTGTGTGCACAACCCACGGATGTGTGCGTATGATGGATACTAATAGCTCAGCAATATTCGGTTCGATTCGATTTGCAGACTGCAATGATATATAGGTGAATGTGGAAATGAGAGAAAATTATGCGTTTCGATTCTTTTTTATTTTGCGAAAATTTGTTCGAAGGAATGAAATTACGCGCACCGAGAGATCATGGATGGGGTTATGCTTTGCTCCACAGCTACGCTCGCTATTAAACACGCTGGTATACAGAATGTTTTTTGCTTTACGCTCTTTGCCGTTCGCTGTTCGCATAGTCAAAGAGAGGCAAGAATTGGAATTCACTTGTTATATGGGGATTTTCTTTTATTCTGGTTGCTGCTCATTGTACATTTTGTCGAATGTATGTATGTATTTATTCTATTGACAATACTGAAAACAGTGTGCGAACCATAAAACTACTAAACTCCCATATATGTGTCATTGCGGTAGATTGTTTGTGCAGTTGTTCTTTTTCTTATTTTAATTTTTTGCCTTTCGAATTTGAGAAGCTCAGCACTTCTTATATGAGAGCAGCGCACGAAGAGGAATAGGCATGTGCATAGAGGCTCCGTGCATCAATGGACAGGGCAATAATAAAACTCATGAAATAATTTCTTTCAACTATTGCTTGTTAGTTTGTTTATATAAACGCTGTCGTGCTTATATGCATACGCTGGTGCTGGTGCTGGTGCTGGTACTGGTGTCAACTTCATATGTACTGCAGGAGTACGCGCTATGATAACAGAGAGATGTGCGTATCCTTTTGCAATGGAAAGTAAAGGAGTGGGTGAGCGCCCACATACAACAACATTCAGTTAAAATTTGCATTGCGCTACGTTTGCGTACAGTTTTATCGTACAAATTACGCATGCATATGCCTTTATCGGTGTACAGTACAGAAGCAGCGATACATTTTCCACGAACACCGTTTTCCTTTGCGAAGCGCAATCGTCAGTGATATTCGGAGATTGCTTAATTGACCGAAATAATTAAATCCAATTTGTATTATTTCAGTTTCCCACAGAGAAAAATTCAAACACAAATTACAAGACGATTAAGCATTTTATAAGAATACAAAAACTGTATTATACCATACATTACGCACTAATTCGATAAAATTCGCGCCAACGCAATGCTACAGAACAGCAAACATAAAAACCAATATGGAAAAAAAACGCGCTAATGAAAGGGTCCAAAATGAAACATCATTAATCTCAATAAAATTTATGGGGAAAAAATGAGAACCACAAAGTAATGAGTAATATTTGATGCGAAGGCGAAGAGGGGAAAAGGCCGTCCGTTTCAAAATATAAGTTAGGCTCCTTATATCTCATCTGAATGACCTACTTACTACATAAATTTATCCATTACAATTTTTAATTGTATTCTAACTTTGTGTTCGCTCCGCTTTGAATTCCGGAAATATGACAGATATTTTGGTGCATTGAATTAATTTATTGATTTCAATGTTATTCACATAATGTTTCCCAACTGAAAAGTTTCCACCGCATATTCGTCCAAAGTGGTTGCCAAGTGGCCACTTTAAAAAAAAAGTTTAGCGGCAATTTCCGACGACGAGCAAGTGATCAAATGAGCAGGAGTGAGTGAGAGAGAGAGAGAGAGAGAGAGAGAGAAGTAGCACAAATTTTATTCATTTTATCGTTCGTCCTCGTCGAGTTGGTGAGTGGTTTCACCATTATGGTCCCCGACTCGATGCAGACATGAAATCATGAAACTATCAAATTCTCCCTGAACGAGAAAAGTTCCGAACATTCTTTTTCGTTTCCATAAATTTAATAGCATTTCAGTGTTGGACAGTTAGAAATCTGTTGATTGCATTTCATTCAAACTGTAAATCAGATTTTACTTTTCCGAATTTTTTTTTCGTGTGAAATTCATTTCGAATTTCATGATTGGAAAAAGATGTGTAGTTTGGTAATCATTCTCCTCAACTTTTCGCACATGATGATGAAACATTGAATTGACCATCGTAATCGAAATACGGAATAAAACCCTTTCAAAACAACAAATGGTATGCAGAACCGTTCAACATCCGAATTTCGCGGTGATGAGGAAGATTTTGTTGCAAATGAAAACAAGACAGAATTGCAATAAAAAACTATGCAAATAATATTGATGTTAATTACGTAATCCGATAGCAATACATTGCTTCTTATGGAGGCTGAATGGATGGATTTTTGTAAGAGCGCCTCTAGTGAAAATATCTTAGAATGATGGAATATTTCGAACATTAATACGCTTTTCTGCTAATTTATCCAAACTCACCTCTTAAGTGGTAAATTAAAACCAATAAATACTTACACATCGAAATATCTCGAAAACGGCTGGGAAAATCGGCAAAATGGACCGTGGTGTCACTCCCTAAAAGGAGTTTAGACACCCGGCTGGTTTGATGGCCTAAAGCTCAAATCCAGTGGATTTGGGCTGATCCATGGGCTCCCAGGATTTGGTCTGATTCCCAGCTTTTCCTTTCCTGTGAGCATCTTTACAAGTCACACTCATGTTTTGTATGGAATTTCACCACAGGGCAAGTGCTGGGATCAGGCCAAATCCTGAGAACCCATGGATGAGCTCAAATCCACCGGATTTGAACTTTGGGCCATCAAACCAGCGGTCCATTTTGCCGATTTTCCCAGCCGTTTTCGAGATATTTTCATGTGTAGTTTAATGAGAAAGATATCCGCCATGACAGCATTTTAGCCCGCCATGTTGGTATTTTGGTTTATATTAACAGAACATTCTCTACTTTGATAGTCAACGTTTCTAAACGTAAACACAAACATGATCTGTCATAATCACATTCACCACTTCTAATGTGCTTCAGAGAGCTTCTGCCAGCACCATCCATCCGAAGCGTTTGAAACATTCAAGGCTTTTGCTGATTTTTTTCTGCCGCATTTTCATTCGAGCTATCGCCTTATGGTTAATTACAAACAAAAACACACAAAAAACAATGATGAATTGAAATTATGACACATTGCACTTGGTCCCCAGGCGGCGCTGTATTGTTTACTATTTTCATGATCAGAAAGGCTGTTTGTCATATTTGTCAAAAAAAAAAATTTTGCATTTCAGACGATTGTCATTGAAATTTTATTTAATCCTAATCCAATACCATTTTAATATGATCAATGGAACTAAAAAGTAACGACTGATTTTATATTCTTCAGAGATAACCTAAATGTATATCAATACAACCGTATTGTTTTTAACTCTATACATTGATATACCCGATTCCAGGCAGATATCCAATGATAAAATTTGCCTATGTTTTTATATGGAGCACATGTTTATGCTATATTTAAGCGAAATCTCGACGGTACACGCTGAACTATGAAATTTCTTTATAAATATACTGCCAACTATCAATGACAGCAACCAATGACAGCAACAATAGAACGTATTTGTTTTGCAAAATACTTCCACCTTGCAGATGGCGCCAAACCAAACGTCATTCTAGTCATTTTTCTCATTGAGATATCCAAGGTTGAATTTTGGGGATAGATTTAACCATAGAAGTAACCGTCATAGTCCAATTGTGCATAGAATGAATGGAGAAAAAATTGCATAATATTAACATCAATACATCATCAATTCAATTGAAAAACAAATCATTCACTTATTATTTATTTATTTATTATTAGTCTATAGACTATAGTCTTATTTGTTTGCATGTCACGTTTATAAATGATGCATCATAGTTGGAGGCAATAATTTGCATCTTCAAATCATATCAAATGGTTTCATTGCGTAATTGTTTGCTGAACGATAGCTTATCTAGCATACAAGAGAATCAACAATTCACGTCATTCCAATGAAATTCAATCAGAATGCCATTTAAAAAACAATACTTGTGCCAAATGCTGCATACAATAAGTGTTCAGGTGTTTTGGGAGATGTGGTTGCGTGCAAATTGTATTCAATTTCATTAAAAGTATTCTTCGAGTTGCCATATAATAGATAAACTTTTTCGTTCTACACAAGAAGTCTGAACTAAATAATCAATTAGATATGAAAGAACGGAAGAAAAGTTTTAACGTTTAACTAATTTTGCATCCCACCCAGAGAGGTCGCATTGATTACAAAAACATAAACAAGGCACACATATACATACATACATAACAGAGTTTCACACGTGCGTAAACCATGATGTTTTGACACTTCACTCATTTGAAATAACATAACCACAATACAAAATATAGCGATAGCAAAATATACGATGGACGAAGAAATGGACACAAATCAAACCATTCCAGGTAAATATAAATAATTGTTTTCAAAAAATTGTTTCTCAAAAATATGTTTGATGGAAACATTCTGTTTTTTTTTTCAGCCGAAAATAATAATGGTACCATTGCTAAAGCAAAAAAGAAATTCGTTCATCCAAAGAAAACCGTCGAAGAACGAAAATTGGAGAAAGAGAAACGGAAACTTCGGAAGGCTCGAATTATTCTACGAAATTTGCCATTCAAAATCAGCGAAAGTGATTTGAGCAAGGTGTTCGCCAAATATGGTGCGATAAAAGAGTGTAATATTTTGAAACGTGAAGATGGCAAATTGGTGGGATGTGCATTCATTCAATATGACAAAGTAAATCATGCAGCAAAAGCAATCCACCATGCTAACGGCAAAGAGATGTTTGGACGACCCATCATTATCGATTGGGCTGTTAATCGTTCTGTATTCGGTAAGCACATACGACAGCAGAAACAGTCGAACAAAAAAGTTCAAGTCAAAACTGAAGATGATTCGGAAGAGAAGGAGATCAAACAGGAAAGCGAGGAGGAAAACACGGAAGCAAGTGAAGGTGATGACGATGATATGGCCGACGATCAGGAAAACGATGAGCTAGATGGTGGAGAAGGCAGTGAGGCTAGTGAGGCTAGTGAGGCTAGTGACAGTGATACAGGTGACGAAAAGAAACCAATCCATCAAAAATCGAATGACGTCGCCGAAGGATGTACTGTATTTATCAAAAATATTCCATTCGATTCAACAAAAGATGATTTATACAAAGTGTGTCGTCAATTCGGACCTCTGTACTATGCGGTTATAACGATCGATAAAATCTCCGGACATAGTAAGGGAAATGGTTTCGTGAAGTTTAAGGTAAATTCATTCGTTCTTAACAGGTAATCTTTCAGGCTTAGTTTGGCCTTTGGCATTATTCGAGTTATTTTTTCTTTTAAATATTTACAGACGAAAGAATCGGCGGACATGTGTTTGAATGCAGGAACATCGTTTAAACTGCTTGATCAGGTTTTAGATCCCCAAGCAGCGTTATCTCGTAATGAGATCGAGCAAAAAAAGAACACCGACAAAAAACAACCAAGCGATTCACGCAATCTGTATTTAGCAAAAGAAGGCACCATTTTAGCCGGTACATCGGCAGCTGAAGGTGTTTCAGCATCCGATTTAGCAAAGCGATTACGTTTAGAACAGAGCAAGAATCAATCGCTGAAAAATTTAAATCGCTTCGTCTCAAAAGAACGTTTGACAGTTCACAATATACCACCAAGCTATGATAGTGGAAAACTTAAAATGGTTATCGTCAAAGCATGTGGCTTAAAAGTAAGATCGATTATTGTATACTATGTTATGAAGGTATGTTATTGTTGATTTTGTATTTATTTACTTACTTTCAGCCAAAAGAATGTCGTGTTATGCGTGAAAACAAACCATCGCTGGGCCATCCGTTGGGTAAATCGAAAGGATATGGATTTTTATCCTTCAAAAATCATGATGAGGCTTTAAATTGTTTACGCAAAGTCAACAATAATCCAAAAGTATTTGGAAAAAATAATGTGAGTATATTTTCGAAGACATTTCAGAATAATATTTTTATTTTCTTAATAAGAACAATGCAATAAAGAAAAAAAAAAACATTGTAATTTTCCATCCGACAGAGACCAATCGTGTCATTCAGTATAGAAGATCACGCTGTTCACAATATCAAAATGAAACGCTTGCTGAAATCACAACAAAAAAATCCACTGTTCAAGAAGAATGCCGATAAACGCTCCGATGTGAAGCCAAGTGCAAAATCATTGAGAAAAATTGAAAAATCCTCGAGCAATTCGAAAACCAACGAAAATAATGAGATTTTAGCTGAATTTGCTGGAACAACAGCTGAAGAGGGGAGCAAATATAAAACACGACCACAATGGAAATTACGGGAAGATAATACATCTCACAGTAAGACTGTCAAAGCCAACAAGAAAATGTTGCGAAAACAAAAAATGCTAAAAGAAATCCGACAAGAAAAACGGCAGATTGATCGAACGAAAATGAAAAAACGCAATCCAAAAGATATCGATAATTCGTTAGTAAATAAATATTTGAAAATTCTGCATTCAAACGATGAATCGCAGGTCAAACCGAAAAAATCAAAATGGTACGTCGATTAAGTCCTTATTCTAATTTCTAAATAAAAAGAAAACATATTAGTCCAAGAAATGTTTTTTATTAAAATATGTGAGCAGATTTATGAGCAGTGTTTGTACATTGGGGTTTGAATAAATTTGTTCCCGAAATTCACGGCCTTCTTGAGATTTGTTTAAAAACAATTTGACATCATTATCGTTTGCATGTTCTAAAATACGCATCGGCACGGAGAACAAGCTGAAAAATGCACCGTAACAACCTCTCACATCAAACTCATTTTGAAGTTGTATTTTACTTGGAATGGTTGAAGTTGGCAAATCCAATTTCAGCATTACATCAATCAGTTGTTCACAGTAATAATCGAAGAGTTGATTAAACTCATCAGATGTAACCGTATCATTGGCTGATGTAAATAGTAAATATGAAACATCGAGGATTGGTGAGCCGAAATATGACATTTGAAAATCCAACTGAAAATCAATCAAATCCAACACAATCAAATCAATATAATGCAACAAAAATTGAATGTGTTTGCAAAAAAATGGAACTCACAAAGAGCGGCAATGTTTCCGTGCTTAACTCTGTACTGAACATAATATTGTTTGACCATAAATCACCATGTGTTAGTACATTTAGCGCCTTGTCATAACGTTCAGTGGCTACACAACACTTTTCGAACACTCTATTAGTCAATTGATTTAATTTTTGGGCGATTTTCTGTAGATTCGAATGATTCTCGAATGTTTTCGAACAAGCGGATACGGCATTTTCAAAGAGTGTTCTATAGTGTGGCGACCCATTGAGACTTACATGAGGCATCAAAAAGATGTCATAAAACGAAGGTATTTCCTACAAAACAAAAAATATAAATATAAATATAAAACTCTTATCAAGTCATGGTCGAACACTTACATTGTTCATTATCTTAACGGATGCAGCATGCCACAAAGCCAGTGTACGTAGACATAATTTTATATGATCAAAATTGAGCCCTTGTGACCGAGGAATAGTGTAGTAATTGGCGAATGTTAAATCTTCCAATATCAAATATGATTGTTGAACATCACTGTCATAACACCTAAAAAAGTTTAGATAATTAATAAAAAATGTTCAAAATTTAAAATTTATTGCACTTTCTACTTTGGAGTTAGCTTGGTTGGAATGTTTGCAGCTTTGAATACACTCTCGATTCTAGGAATGATTTCGTTGTAGATACAAATCTCTTTGGCAAAAACATTACGACTACGAACAAGTTTTTCGCCGAGCGTGGCTTTCATAATAAATCGCTTGCGTTGAATGGCATTTCCATCGGAATATTTAACATCTAACTTGGTCAAACTGCTGCTGTAATTCTCACCATTACCGAATGCCGGCTGAGCATCGAACCATTCAATTTTGGTCATTTTCCCATGATGACTCAAAATTCTCTCGAATAGCATATTATTTATTATATTATTCATTATTTACTTTAATCTTATTATAAATGAGCTATTGCATCTACTGAGCAGAAGTCTCAAGTAAATCTGACATTTGAGTAGGTTGAGAGCAAAAACAATATAAATCAATTGTACCAGACGATTAGAGTGATTTTTATAGTAATATTCAAGGATGTTTACTCGTGATTTCTTGCAGAGCCATTAAACAAATAAAAAAACAAGAACGAATAAAGAATTTAAAATGATCTTTTTCACTGCATTCACAGAAAGCGCTTGAAACATGAATGAAGTGATGATGCGTGACGTACACGGTATATTTGTCAATAGTATACATTGTACGATCACATTGTCTATGTTCGTGTTGTTATGCGTGTAGTAGTGTTCAACCATTTTGTGAATATCTCTTTATAAGTGATTTTTAAAAAATTAATATTTATGCATCTCTTTCCTTTCCTTTATTTCTGCGTGTTTTTTATTCATCAATTTAATATTATCAATTTTTTTTTTTAATTTATCCATTCAAATACATATTTTAAATTTTAACTTCGAAAACAAAAAAAATGAAATTATTGGATATAGTCAATTCAGTGAATAATGAATCGCACGTAATACATAAACAGTGTGTCGTTATGTATGTGTTGTGCTAGTTGTTGCTTAAAAATCGTCCAATCCAATATCCAGTCCATCGTCTGGATTCAAACCATTGAACAAATCATCCAGATCGTCGTTGTCTTTGTCGGTGTCAGGGGCCTTACTTTCTGGTATCTCTTGTGGAGGTGCAACATAATCGTCAGGCTGTGAAAATATAAAAATAATCATGTTAGTTAAAATTGCTGTTTTATGGTTTATTGTCCATTTTCGTCGACGTACTTTTTCCTCTTTCACATTTGTCAAGTCTGGATGATTTTTTCGTTCCCAATGTTGACATCCGTAGCCTTTTGATCCAGAGTTGTCGTACTCGTTGTTATCCTCATCGTATTCATTATCACTGCCATCATAATCACCTGATAATGATAATTATTGTAAGTGGAAAAACGATCAATGATATTCGATGTGAAAAAATGTTAACGAAAATTTAAATTTAAAATTATTTATAAACATACTATGAACAAAGGTGTCTTCTTCATCGAATGGATCGTTGTCTCCATCGTATCCGTACCCATCTTCGGAATGACATTCGTCGTCAGAGAGTGGCTCTTGTTTAACATTAGTGCCAAGTAGATTATCTTCAGTTGCTGCATTGAGTCCATCTATAAAAACATGAAAGCAAACCAAATGAGTGTCTTATGATTGAGAAAATATTTCTTGTTTCTTGTCATCGAATACTAACAGCCTTGTTTCCGTAACTCTTCAGCCTTTTCTTTGACATTTGCTTTGTTATCCACCATCTCATCATCGAAGAGCGGAGCACCGGATGGTTTCTTAACTTCTTTTTTGTCACCATCAACACCGTCTCCTTCCTCCTGTAAAATTCATTTCAAATCATTATCTTATTTGTTTTTCTTCTTGGTTCGGGTGTCTGTGTGCAAATGCGATGTATGACTTACCTTTTTGGTCTTTTTGCCCTTCTCCGATAAACCAACACTTCCTTTGTTACGTCGAAATCGAACGACCAAACTGCGAGCGTCGATCGTTAAATTGTATGTACTTTTAAATGCTTCCATTGAATCTTCGACAGAATCGTAATGCAAAAATGCGTAACGCGTAAATTTTGTACGTTGAGCATATCCGATATCGATTCGTTTGGCCGTTGGAAATTTTTCTTTGAAAATTGTAACATTTAATTTCGTTGGTAAATTTCCAACGTACAGTGTATATGGATCTAGTTGCTCGGGCGTTACCTAGTTCGTATTCGATTGATTTAGATGGTTTTTATTGATAAATTTTTTATCCGTTTGCGTTTTTTTTACCTCATTTTCTTACTTTAGTTGTCAATGGCTAGTCAGTGAAAAAGTCAGTTAGTCTCAACGATCGTTCTAATCTTTATCCAACTGATCAATTTTTCACATCAAACCAAAAACAACAGCACATTTTGAAATGTTATCTGCTGAGCGGCAATAACTAAAAACATAATGCGCAAATGCCCAAAAGATGGTTATTTTCTTGTTCCTTACTTCAGAAACTTCGTGACGAGTTATTTTATTTTCCACGGATATATTACCGGTGCCAAATTCAATTTGTGAAATTTCTTTTTTCACTTGTTCGATATCGGCATCAGGTTTCAATTGTACGAAACAGTATCTGAAGATGAGAAGAAAGGAATGGTGAAAAAAAATGATTGACTGTCTATTTATGATTCATTATTTTGTGTGTCGATTTCGTTCGATTATGCCCATGACAACCGATAATGTTATCGCAATTACAATAGGAAATTTGTATAAGTGATGATCATTGTCTTACCGGGCTCGGGATGGTTGTTGAAAATGAACTGTTTCAATTGCGGATGAATATGAGTGAATTAATGCTTTATTGAGCTCTGGATCGGGGAATCGTAAAATTAACATTGGAACTTTTTTAATCAAATGGTTGTATGCATTTTCCAATGTCAATGCTTTATGCGCGTCTTCTTTGTTCCATTCTTTTTTGCATGTGTAACGCTCAGACATTGGTTTTCTGCGAGCTTTTTTGTTAACCTTAAGTGCAGCTGAAATAGAAAACGAATAGTAACCGGTTTAGAAATGCGCGACACAAGTAATAAGCCACAAGCCAATAGCGGCTTAGAGCCACTTACGTTTCGGAGCACTATCGTCTACTTTGCCATCGTTCGGTTTGTTAGGTTTAGTCGATGTGCCTGGTCCCATATTTGAATTGGAATTAGGACCATTTTTCTGATTATTATGATTCTGATGATTCTGATGATTTTGATGATTTTGTTGATTTTGATGATTTGGGTTCTTTTTATACGGTCCTAAATTCATATACCTACATAAAATAATATGAAATTATTATTTTTGTTTTGGTTATTGTGTTTGTTTCTGTGCAAGATAATTTCAAAGGACAAATACCCTTGTTGATCTGGCCGAAGTGAATTCCTAGGTGTGCGACGCATATTATTATTCATATTCGCATTTCTGCGAGGGTTCATCGAATTATGCGGTGGAGGAGGTGGGGGTGTTTCTAGCTCTGGTGGTCTATTCAAAGGCAGAGGTGGTGGTGGCTGCATCGGATTGTATATCGCCGCACTGCAATTCAAACATCAACATTAAACACGTGATCAAGGCATGAGTTAAATACTTAAGGGTAGGTTCGTTGTGAAATTTCGTATAAAGTATGCGAATGTGAGAACACTTGAAATCAGATTGAAAATTTAAATGGAAATAATAACAATACCTTGGACTACTCCACTGCATCATCATATTTTGCGGCTGGAACATATTCATATTTGCATGGTTTTTTGGATCGGTACGTGGATCGACCCACATTGGTGATTGATATGAATAGTATGAGCTGCTGCTTGAAGGTGACGGCTGCAATGGTGGACGATTATCGCTTGTGAATGAGAATCGTTTATTTTTATTGGCCATATCATCTCCATGTCGCTTCATTTTGTGTCGATATTAGGTCTTCCGATGTGATTTACACGAGCGCTAACTGTTTCTCACACATGCACGAAATTCGAAACAAAAATAGTCTGGGCTACCGAACAACTGATCTAGTAAATATTCAATGCGAAACTATGCTTTGTCACAATTTTTTTTTTTTTCATTCCATTCAAAATATCAAATGTATGCGGTATTCACTCAATTAACAATTGACGCAATGAATGTAACGATATTTTATTAGAATATCGCCCGATCTATTGACTTTAAATTGTTTTTTGTTTCAATATTTTCCGGTTATTATGAACACACTTATTTATTACAAAATCTACTTTAATACCGTGTATCACTAGTGCTTTCAAAAAAAAAAAACTCTAAAATTTCGGTGCTGTTTTGACATTATGCTTGGTTTGGTTCATAAAAATCAAAATGGTGTCGCCATCATTATAGAGCTCAGTTTTCAAAACAAAAATCTAGTACGCACCGAGCACAGCCGGATCGAATTAACTGGAAAGTGGAAGCATCCCATGTGGATGGAACCTTATGTTTACTTTTTTTTTAAATTATTATTTCATTTTAATCACTAATCAAATTTAATCGGATACGTTTTTCTGATAAATCGAGCGTTGATTTGATGAAGTGTGCTGTTCAGTACTCATTTTGAGAAAACGCATTGATTTGATGGTCCCCTGAAAATCAAATAACCATGTTTCAGTTAATCGACTCAAACTTGTATCTTGGGAAATATTCTAAGTTTTTGGTTTAACATTCAAATGGATCGAAATTTGAGAGTTTGCACATGATAAAGACAAAGAGAATATAAACAAACTAGCAATAAATAAAAATTTAAGCAAAATCTCTATCCGAATACTTTTAACTTTGATCTATACTGTGAACGTGTCATAACTATTCTAGGTATTGCAAAAATGAAACATAACCCATTTTGTGCGGTTTTTTAATATTCAACGATGAATCTATTTTCACGAGTGGCAAAAGCTAGTAATTTTGGAAAATGCATTATTTGGAACACATGGCAGCCGGAGTAAGTCATTGTTAAATAAGACAAAAAAAATCGAATCAAAAAAAAATTCAATTGATTTTTTTAGACGAAGCATTCAAACCAGCCAAAGGTCATTGAAGCAAGTGCTCACAAAAACATTGCGAATCAAACATGAAGATTTCTATAAGCGAATGGATCAGATTCCACTGGAGTACGAAATGATCTATAAAATGCCATTGCATTACACATTGAACATGGGCAAATCAGCGGCAATAATCACCAGCGTATTTGTACCGTGTGTTTGGCTGTACAATAAGCTAAGTCAAGTTTCACACGAACCCTTTCATTTCATTGGCACTCAGGCTGCATCTCAAGATGATGTGGTGTGGTTTGCCGCCGCACTCATGGCTACAAATATTATTATATTTCGATGTTGTCACATAATTGCACTTCGAGTCTATCGCTATAAAAAATCGTGAGTATCCAGCAACAGTTTTGATTCAAATTCCATGTCCGATTCTAAATTTTAAGTTTATTTTTTTTTCAGTTACGTTGCTATAATACCAGGTTTTGTACCTAGGTTTAATAATCAGCTACATTTCCAAGAAGGCCAATTGAAAGAGCATTTCAAAGCATTATCATTTTTCAGAGGACTTACATACAAAATCAATGGTCGAACGATGCTGCTTATACCCGACAGATTTCGCAAGAGCTCCGATCTTTTCGATATGCTGAACAAATCTGATTCCAGAAAATATAAATGATAATAATTGACATGTTAATCGTTGTAAAATAGTCTGAATAATAAAAAAAAAAATCGTTTCGAACGAAGGTAATGAGCAAAAAACATTCGATTTCATCATAATTTTGGCGGCATTCAGTTTGAATGAATATTTTGACATTTCTCAAATTGCGATAGAGCGCAGAACAACATATAAGAAACTGTCAAAATCCATACTGGTGACAATAGTACGTGATGTGCGTATAGTGAAATTTTCGCGATAACAATGAATGTCGTCTCACTTAGCAACATTAATAAATATGCCGTTATAAAATTTTACGCAAAATCACCACATCACTTCTTCATCCACAGGTTAGATCCTAAAATCAAGTAAACACACATATTTTAGCGTTATTACTCATCTGTAACATTTTTTTTATTTCATGTTACAGAAGATGGTTTGCCGGTAACAGTGGATCTTTGAGCTTGATGGACCGGCAGAGAAAGAAGGATGGCATAGACAATAAATTTCAATTGATATACAAACCTCCAAATAACAGTTTGCTCATGACAGCCACATCTTTCGGTGCTTTCGGTGCATTCACATGTCCGGCATTTCTTCTGCAATATACTTTCGATCGTTTTTACGGTGACAATACGGAACTAATTGAACAGGTTTCCTCATTTCAACTTGGCGTTATGGGGACGGCCGCTATTGCTAGCATAATCATATTATATTTTTGTCGATCTATTCCATTACGTATTTATAACAACGGGAAAGAGTATGTACTAAATGCAATGAAAACCTACCTTAATGGAAAAAAAAAAAAACTCATTGCCATAATATTCAATTTTCAGGTACACTGCAATATTTCCAAGTTCGTTACCTTTGCTCACTCGGAAGTTTTGTTTCGTGAAAGGTGATATCAAAGACAAGAAGTCGTCAGGATGGGGCAGAAATCTATTGGGAAAATTGATAAAGCCAGGTTTCGAGACCGCTTCATTTTACAGAGTGAAAGACACACATATATTTTTGACGATAAAATGTTTCGAGAAACCGGTTCAGTTCTATGAAATGTTTCCAAACACAGCAAAATATGCTAGGAAAATCAAACAGTTAGATCCACCGAAGCGTTGAATATTTATCAATTTTTTTCAGAGGGGAAAACATACTGTTAATGCTTTATTGACAAATATGCTCAATTACCAACGCTATATTGTACAGTCAAATAGTGAAACTGTAGTAAATTTCTTTAAAGTCAAAAGTAATTTTGTTTGTTTTTTTTTTTTTTCAAATATTTCTTTATTTTCGATTTTTTTCGTAGTTTACAAAATGTTTTTAAATATGAACTCTGGAAAACTGCGTTTTTATCATGAGGAAATCAAAAGAGAGGACTTCAAATCGCAAAACGAAACAAAACGAAAACACCTCTTTTGCTATTTCTATAAAATGCTAAAAACAATCAAAATAATTTGTTTTTCCATATTAAACGACAGTTTGTTCCGAGCTATACAGCTTAAAAATGTACTACGATTGATTTCCTTATTTCATCTGATAAAATTTTCTTCTTCTTTTCTTCTTGTTATCTATTCACAGCAATTCGGCTTTATATAAAAAAATATAATTATTCGAAATACTGTCATTTATTACATTACTTACACTTAAATTAATTGATAAATGTTCATTTAATTGGTCCTACAATCGCTTTGATAATTGCTTTAATTTATTGTTGTTTTTTTCATCTTGACAGTTCGTTCATTTATTTAATTACTTCAATGTTAGATTTGAAGAAAAATAGTGAAAAAAAAAAACTGGGGATGCGATCAAATGGAGAAAAGGGAGATTAATGCAATGTTTCCGTAAACGTTTTCCTTAATTTGTATGCCTGTCCTTGTATCCAGCCATAACTATTTTCTTTAATTGTACAATACCCGAATCTCGTTCCAAACTCTAACTAAATTGATAACACATTCAAAAATTCGGAACAATCGGCTAGTATTTGAGGTAAAATTTTAAATCGATGTAATTTTGTTATACGGCATTCGAATTAAGAAAATAAAATCTGATTGCTGATGGTTATTGTGTTTCATTAAAAAAAATTTTAATTGGACGTCACTAAAACGTGAATCAGAACCATTTTTTTTTTGTCTGGCAGGAAGTAGGAGTTTTGGATGTAATTAAATCGAATGCAGAACACCAGGGTGATTGCGCGTTATGGATTCATTGTATTTCCTGATCTAATGAAATTTTTGTGTACTTGTGCAAAAATTAAAATCAGAGAATTATTTATTTGGATGCACACTTTCTTATACTACATCAATACACATACAAAATTATGGAATTTTCTCTCTTAGTTGCCACTTCATTAGTATGAAAAAAAAAAGACACCGAATAGAAAAAAAATTGAGTATTTGATTCTTGAAAAAAATTTATGAACAGATGTTAAAAAAAAGAAATAGTTAATTGCGATCGATGTGACAATCAATTGCGCGCATGATATACAAATCGAACATGTTTGCGCAATAAATAGGCTTTTAAAATCTTATTAACATGCAGTCGATTGTTCAAAGCTAATATTTTATATGGAATGCGCATTCTGGTTTATATTTCTAAAATAGTAGTTGCAATGATTTTGACATTCGAAAAATTGATGTCAATGTGTGTATTTTACTGTGCATTTGTCGTACGGAAGAAATTTTAAATAATAGACTGTAAGTGATTCATCGGGAAAATTGTGTCCTTGAGCCTTTGACTGTTTCCTTTGTACGTTCAAACTGTTGCTCGCACAGTTTGGATTCTACACGTTATTTTGTCAAATGAATACTTTGTTTTAACAGAGCCTAAAGGTGTTTTTTTTTTTTTTTTTAAATTCAATTGAAGAAATCATTTTTAAATTCGAAACACAAGAGAAAAACATGCCTACCTATTTCTAAAGCACTGAAGTTTATCAATTACATAAAATCCTTATGATCATAATATTTTCAGTTTAATTGGTTGTTTCCATTCTAAAATCCTATCTATTCGTTTTTAACATCTAAATTTATGATTTTGGACAATTCGATTTAGTTTTTTAAAAAAAATGGCGGAATTAAATGTTAAATCCATGATTTCTTGTCTCTCTCACTTTTACACTGGTATGTGTATGGTATTTGTTTTTGGCATTTCCTTAATATGTAAGTCAATTTTATGCTTCTCAATATTTTGTCTTGTCTGCAAACATATATTGCTTGACGGGGTAGAATTGTGGTCAGTTTGGTTTTTTTTTTTTTTTTAATTATTTAGCAATAGATGAATCTACCCAAAATTGACAATAGCATTGATGTGAGTAAAGCACTGGCTAGAATGTGATGTTGATTTCCAGATCCGCTGTAATCATCGTGGGCAGGTCGTTCATCGGTACCAGCTGTGCATTTTTTATTTTTCGGTTTGATTTATATTGTTAAATTGTATGAAAAGAAGCAAGATAAAAAAATTAAAAAAAAAAAAATTATACATATAGTTGAAATGGCTATCATTTAAATGTGTTACTGAATTTTGTTTGTTGTGTGATTGTTTTTTGTGTATTTGGAATAAAATTGGTGCTTGATTTGGTGGTGTCAATGGCCAAAATTCGGTGTGAGCTGAATAACAGAATTCATATTAATATGCATGCGATACATTTTTTGGTTTGGCTTTGTTGATTCATAGTTTTTTGACATTGGCATGAAAGAAGCAGAAGCCAGACATCGAAATGTGAACAAGTGCAGAAAAACAAAAATACTTTGACATTAGTTAATAAATAACTGTTGCTGAATTCCATGAGTCAATTCAAGGGACCATAAATATAATGAATTGAAATAGAGACAAACTTGAGAGATAGAAAGTTGCACAAGTAGGTGTGTGTGTGTGTGTTTGTGTTCGAATCGATTCAAAAAGAGAATATCACTGAAGAATACAACAACAAAATTGTTTAAAAGTGCAATAACAACTCAATGGAGCAGCGGACTTGTCGTCACACGCTTAGATGTAGCATTTCGCTTAATTTGGCGATTCGTTAGTTGCCGAAACATCGTCTATGCAAAGCATTCGATATATCACTTGAAATCCCAATATTCGGTTAGTTGAAGTATGATTTCATTTGCGACGCCCGCGGCTATGAAATTCATACTCACGACAACATTCGACCTGCCTCTAGTGGCTATACACGCAACAAACGTTGAGCGGTCAATATATACAGACACGCTAGAGTGAGATTTATACGGTTTGCGCAAAAGGCTACTTGATTATCGGCCATGCATACGCTTATGTGATTGAAATCTTCAACTATCACCACAAGTGTCGTGTCAGTAGAGCTCATCTTAGTTTACATTGGAAATACGTGTTATTGTTGTTGTAGCTGTATCGCCGTGGCGACGCCGCGCGTACGCAATTCACGTTAGATATAATATCGTACTTTATCGTAGTAGCCATAGGTCATTCGGCTAACCGAATATTGGGATTTCACGTGATATATCGAGTGCACTGCATAGACGATGTTTCGGCAACTAGCGAATCGCTTAATCAAGCGAAATGCTACATCTATGCGTGTGACGACATTTCCGCTGCTTTATTGAGAACAACAACACAAAAAATGTTGCATTTTTCTGAATCCCAATTTGATCTTTAATTTTCACATTCTCGTCAACAGTTATTTATTTCGCAGCAACTAAATTTTGGAACAAATATAAAATGAAACTTTTTTTGCAATGTTTCCGTCCAAACATTCTTGTTTAGAAAAAAAAAAAAACTAAACATAAATAAATAAATTTAAAAAAAAAACATACATTCGTGTGCTTGGCACGTGTTTTGCTGAACCGCAATCTCTTTCGACGATTTCACATACATTTTTGAGTTTTTTGTTCTTTGAAAAAAGAACTATTTATTTTCTTCTATTTATGTCCTATTATTTAATGCGATCAAATAATAGGTTATAATGGAATTTTACGTTTAAAAAAAGATTTTTTTTGTGAAGTGCATCTAAGGGTGTTTTTCGGTTTGATTTTATTCTTCCGTTTTTTTTTTTTCGTGTGAAACTGAAGAATGTGACAATCATTTTATGCGCATCTATCAATCTTGTATCTATCAGTTTGTTTTTGTTTTTAACTTCCATGATTTGAGCCTAAAAAATATGAACACACACTCAGTTTGCTAGAACAAAAAAGGAGGTTGTTTACATCAAGAAGATAAACTTAAAAAGGAACAATTTTGATATAATTTGGATGGACAGGAGATCGGTAATTTGGAATTGGGGAAAAGTGCGGAGTTTGATCCAATTTGAACCTTCAACGTGTTTGGAGAATGTTTACTACTGTTATAAAGTGAAAAACTACGTAGTCTCTATCTTCCTAATGAGAGAATGGAATTTTGAGATAGTTTTACTCGCAATAACGATGAAAAATAATAAAGATCTTTTGTGGTCTACACATTTCTGCCATATTAAAGAGAGAGAGTGTGTGTGTGTGTGTGTGAATGTGTATTTTGGTGCTGAGAGTATGAGTTGGAAAACTGTGTGGACATTTCTACGCTGTGAAAGGAAAAATACCATAAAATATTTAGATTGATCGTGCGATGTGAACAAAAACAACAACTACGAAAAAATATAAATAAAGTATAGGGTGGGCCAGAATAAATGTCACTTTTATTTTTTAGACATAAATCGCAAATTTTTCAAGATAATTGAGTACTTATTCATGCATACCTACAATATGGTCAAAATATTTTTATTTGAGTCACCAGATTTGGTTTTCCAAAATTTTGGCCGAGTTTATTTTTTTTTCGCCACGTCTATGTCTGCAACTCGGCCAAAAAATTTGGATCACCAAATCTGGTGGCTGAAATAAAAATATTTTGACCATATCTACCGTATGCAAAAATAAGTATTATATTAAAAAATGTGTGATTTATAAAAATAAAAGTGACAGTTATTCTGGTCCACCCTGTATGGTGATGCACTACACTACCTTTGAATAGTTTACATCGTCTGGTGTCATAAGCAAACAAGAATTCAAATAAAAAGAAGAGTGAACAAATATTCAGAATAATAAATATCTCAAAGGGTACTATAGTTGAGATAGGACAGTGTAGAAAATAAAAGTGTAAACTTTTTGTCGATTATCGGGCTATGAACTAGCGATTGAAGCCCCCTATAGCGACGTTAATTTGTCTTTTGTGAGGAAAAGAGAAAATAGGGTTGATACAAAAAAACTAGTTGGAAAAAATATAAAAAATCTACAGTAAATTTCATCGGTGAAAAATGTGGCGCGTAGTCATTTATTCAACCTGATGGTGGCAAAAATCATGAATTCATGCGTAAAACTATTAGCATTGAGAGAACAATCCGAGGAAAAATCGCTTTCAAAATCACCCGATACATTTTTCGCCAGCAAAATTTGCCACGGGTTTTCGATACTTTGTCCACTAACTCTATTGCATCCATCCAAATTTTTTTAAGACAAATTGGCGTCGCTTTGAGAGACTTTAATCGATACTTTAAAGCCGGTAAAAGGTTGACAAATTTTTTTTTCGGATCACCCTATAGGTTTTTTTTCGAACGCCGAAAAAGAGAACATCGCGATTGTGCGTAAGATGTTTCACACCATTTCCGTTGAGTACTTTGAACGATCACTTCAAAAAGTGTGAATAGTGTTGGAAAGAGACGGTGCCTAGCCACTAACTTCACAACTACCACTGAAAATTGTGACGTTGATGAGCATGCTAAATTTGCGATCAGAGCGACGAGCGGCAATACAGTCACACAGATTTGTATGTGTCCTTTTGTGCAGAATACTTCGCATAATGCAAATCGGTGTGACTGTATTGTTCTATGTATTTGTTTAACGTCAACACTCCTAATACGTTATGAGCTATGCTCTTACTCAAATGACGTGCATTTTCTCTGTCGTTCTTCTACGCCGATTGCCAAGTGAGAAAAGAGCAAGCGCTATAGACTATAAAACAATACAACTGCACTCAAACCAACTGATTTTTGATCGGAAATCATTTTTTAACTGCGACACTCCTAAATATATTGTTTACTCCGTGTTTTTCTTTCCCTCGCCAATATTTTAACGTAAAATTAGCGCAACACCTTTTTTTCAACGTGTGAACACCATTAGTTGATACAGAATTTTTTCCTCTTTAATTTCTCTTTTTCGGGTTATGAAAAACACCCTAGTGTATGTATATATAATGAAGTGAATGGCTTTGCTTTTATTTTCATAATTGTGTGCCAAAGTTCAGAGTGCATCAGTGTCGAAATTTGTATATGTTCAAAATTCGCTAATTAATAAACAATGAGTGCTCAATGTGTTTCTCGTTTGTTTACTCGTTTTGTATGTATTTTCAAGTTTTATCCTTTTCTCTTTCAGACAATTTCACTTTTGTGTTAAGTATTTATATATACCCATTACCATTACCATTACAATTACTATAACTTATTGTAAGCAGGTGAAAATATGTGATTGAAAAGATGCTGAAGCAACTTTACTCATAAGAAATATTTTGGTTTATGTCCCAAATCAAATCAAAGGTATTGCGTGAAATGAAAAGCTTTTATAGGAAGAAGAAAAGTGGAAAAGGATAAAAAAAAAATGGTAAATTTGTCATTTTTTTCGTTGCATTTTTCTTTTTATGTTTTGAGTGATGAAAAAAAATTTGATAAAAATGCAATTTAATTAATAATTTAAGTATTTAATGTAGATTAGCGAAACCGACCATTGAATTGTATTTGTCAAACTATTTTCACGAGCTCTTTTTTTCGTGTTATTCTCTCAAAATTTCACGCATATTTTCATCATTTTTTTAATTGTTCGACAAATTAGGCGTCTAGATTCCATAACGAAGTTTATTAGATTATTAGGAGGTTTTTATATTTAAATCAGTATATTTGTGTTTAGCGACACAGATTTTTAGCTTAAAATAGACTGTTTCATGTTTGGAATTAGTCGGAAATGTAATGAAAATAATTAGTAAGACGGAAATAAGTTAATTGATGGGAATAAATGGGCTCATTCTTGGACACACTAATGAGTTAGTGGGATATATTTGGCAAGAAATCGTACGAAACTCATTTCTAGACAGATTTTGAATGAGTTGATTGAAACGTAGGAAAAGAAGTACTTACAAAAAATCAAAACAAGCAGATAAATAATAATGAAACAAAAAGATGAAAATGCAAGAACAGAGAGAAAAAAAATTCTGAAAGATATTGAAGAGTGTTATAGAAATATTCTCCCACAACCACTTAATGGAGCAGCGGACTTGTCGTCACACGCGTAGATGTAGCATTTCGCTTGATTTAGCGATTCATTAGTTTCTGAAACATCGTCTATGCATCGTCCACTCGATATTTAACGTGAAATCCGAATATTCGGTAATCCGAAGTATGATTTCGTTTGCGGCGCCGCGCATAAGCAATTCTCGTTAGATATAACGTCGTACTTCATTGTAGGTCATGCGGCTAACCGAATATTCGGATCTCACGTGATATATCGAGTGCACTGCATGGACGATGTTTCGGAATTGCTAAATCAAGCAAAATCCTACATCTACGCGTGTGACGACGAGTCCGCTGCTCCATTGAGCATATTTTGTTCCCCATATTTCAGGAATTGAATGGCTTAACGCTGCAGATTAAAGCCTTATTAAGAAGTAGAACGTATACAATTTTTGAAAAATGCACCAAAACCAATTAAAAGGGGAGAAATAGAAGAACAAACTTGGAAGAAAGATACAATTAAAAACAAAATAAAAATAGACTCTAATTTTTCATTGAGATTACAACTTACAATTGATTTTTTTTTTTTTTTACTTTTTGCTTTTGATATATTCCATACGATTGAACTGTTGCGAAACACATGTATATCTCATATATATATATATCATATACTTAGCATTCAATCTCTGTCGGTCTGCGTGAGTATGTTTGCTTATTTTACTCATGTATGAATTTTACTTGTGCTTTTCTTAGTACATATGTAAATTACTTGAGTCATGGTAAACTGTGTTCTAAACATTATCAAAATGTTTGTGTTGATTTGTTCGAGTGTTTTTTGTTTCTCTTCGATTGACATAGCACATTAAACCTACGACATGATATACGCTGAATATCATTCATTTCATTTTGAAATTGCGTGAACAATTCATTTTATTTATAATTTTTTTTTCTTCGTTATCAATTTTATCTATGAAATGTTTTTATACACAGATCTTTTGTTTTTTTTTTTTTTGTTCTGTTCCAATATCGAAGTCTCTTGCATTAAATTACATCGAACATTTAAAATATGCTCTTTCATTTAGAATAGAGTATCATTATGGAGTTTCCTGTCGGGTCGGTTCCACTCACCTGCATCAAATACCAAATCATCAACATCTCCCGAATCACTATTGCTTGGCTGCGCGGTTAAATGATTACCTAGTGAACTGAACGTCGCTGGAATATTTTGGCATCCGTACCACCAGTGCGCCACGGGCCGGGGGAATGGAGGGTTTGCTGCATCAACCTAAAGGCATTTTTATCATTTTTTGTTCGTTTCATGCAAATATAATACTTACTGAGAAGGTTCGATCGTTGAAACGATAGTATTTGTCTCCTTTGAAGAAGTATGTATAGCCATTCGTGTACTGGAGCGCAGCATCAATGTTGTTCGGTACGCCTTCCCAATTCGATAACGGTTTTGGATAAGTTGATTTTACAGGTGGCCGTTTCAATGGGTCGAATCGCCAGAATTTGCTGCCTTTGTAGAAGTAGATTTTTCCATTGCCGCCCCATACAAGAGCTGCATCTAAATTGTCTGGAATGCCTGTAAAACCATCACTAATTTCTTTTGGATAATCACCATCCATTTGTCTTCCCGAGTATCTCCAATATTGTGAGCCTTTGAAGAAGTAGGTTTTTCCATTTTTGTATGTGAATGCAGCATCAATGTGTCCGGGAAGGCCTGGCCATCCATCCGAAATGCGTTTTGGATATCCCTCGGCAACGGCATTTTCGGTGAGCCGATAGTAATTGTTATCTTTGAATGCGTATGTGTTGCCATCGGCTGTGTTGAACATTGCATCAATCTTAGGGTCTGAACATAATTCATTGTCATCATTTGGTCGTGATGGTCGTGGGTTAGCTGGGCGAGGATTAAATCCACTATCACTATCACTTCCGGAACTTCCAGAGGCGGTTTTACGACCATACAAAGCTTGGATACCCTATTATTAGATTATTTTTTTTTCAAAATTGCATACCGATTACCAATGAATTGTAAACTCAATATCATATTGAAATGAATGGAAAAGGAGAAAAATATAAATACTGTCAACTGTAAATTACAATTTGAACTTACCTGAATATCATCGGAGTCTAAACGGAATACTGGATCAAATCCACGGTAGAATGGTGCCATCAATGCTGAACGTACCTATTATTATTATATTAGATCATATTAATATAACATTCACATAGACTGAATGGTTACAGCAACTATATTAAGTATCATCAACTAAATATTTGGTTTAGAATATTTAAACGTACGTCTGAATGGCTCAAACCTAACGAATGGCCAAACTCATGGGCAGCTACTTGGAACAAATTTGTGCCTCGACTGCTACCAATTGTCCAGTATTCTGCATCATCAAAATGGGCATCGCCACCATAGACTGGGAAGTATGCATGAGCCAAAGTACCGCCTGGTCCATCAAATGGATCACCATCACCGTGTTCATTTTCTTCGAAACGGATTTCTATGTGTACGGGATTTGTGCGTTTCGCTGTGAAAGTCAAATCGGTGTATTCGCTCCAAACATTGAATGCTCGTGCGATTTCCTTGTCAACCTCTGCTCGATTCAACTTTTTCGGATACTTTGAAATCCGATAGGTTAAGTTCTTCACCTTCCATCGGCTTCCTTGCAATGCATACCGTTTTGATCGTGAGTCAGTGCCAAAGCCAACTTTATCCTTAACACCACATCGCGGCAGTGACATTAATTCCATTGTTTCCGGATCAAGATTGCCTGTAGTTTTGTTTTGTTTTGTTTTTTTTTTTTTTTTTTTCATTTGTTCACATTAAATATTGAAATTGTTCCTTAGCGAAATGAATTTAGTCATTTGCTCACTTACCTGTGATATTCACACCGGCAAAACTTTGGAAATCCATGATTGCCTTGTTCCATGTATTCTCATCGAGAAGACCTCCACTGGCTGGGTTTCTGGCTGTGGGTGGCAAGTATCCGAATTGTGATAAATAAATCTGAAAACATATACATGAATTATACTTTTGTGCAGAGTCCATCGAAATCAAATGACGTTTGATTTTGATTTGTAGTCATTTTATCTATTCCAAGCATTTTTGATACAAAATAAATCGAAGCCGAGGACAAGAAATATTTACGTTGAAAACTGATGAAACGACATTCGCGACAAACGCAATGCGCGTGCTGATTGACGGTTGTAGTGGAGTAAACGATCCAGAGAAAAACGATATATGAGTATTATGTTATTTGCGAGACGCGAATTGAATTCATAAAAGGCTTTTGTGTGTTGTCAAAGCAACCATATTTGCATGTGTATTTATAAACCATAAATTTTTTTTAAATGGCATATGTAATTTGATTGAGTTTTTGGCAGTCGTTTATTGTTGGAATCAAGAGAGAAAAAGAAACATTATTGGTTTTGTTTTAATTTTGGAATTTCGTATGGCGTGCCGTTTCGTATTGATATATTTCTAATGTGCTATGGCATGCTGTTGCCTCTTTTTTTTTTATTGCATTCTTCAACGAAATTTTTCTGACCATTGAACAATGTATAATCGCAAATTTTTTGTGGAACGTCATTACTCTATCCTGAACGGACATTGAATTCGTTCTTTTTTGCCGGTTTGGACGGAGCGAAAAATATACATAAACGAGGTTAATGAACTGATTAGTCGCAGTGTCTCCGCGAAGCAATGAGTGAGCTTCATAATATGTGAGTTTTGTGAGCGTTTTATCGATGATGCAAACTGACATATACGTTACAGGGCAAATGAATTGAAAGTGAATTTCAACGACATCTTGTTACACAAATTGTAGTATACATGTAATACAACGCCGCAATTTTCAACACTTCAATCATCTTCATCAAATTTTAAATTGTATTCATATGGAAAATCTGTAGGCGTTGAAAATGAATGGTTAACAGACTGAGGCTGGCTGTCGTTATAACGGAAAATATATGTTTTTTTTTTCTAAATTTACCATGATACGTCAATGTTTATGCTCTTGTTTGGACCGATAATAATGCATTCCGTATTTATATATGTAGAGTACGAATCGGCGAACAAACTGTAACTAAGCAGCCGGTATTGAAATTTCCAATTCATGGTCATTTGGAGTTGTTATACACAACTTAAACATTACCGTGCCAACTGTTCAAGTAAATCAATAAAACATTTTTTTTTTTCAATTTCAGCAATGAAAGAAAGTGTGTGGCAGTCCGATTTTTTTTTTGGAGCTTCTGATTAAGTTCTTAAGATAAGAATGATCCAATGAGACCCCATGAATTCAAATAAATACTTTCCAACAATATCATTATCATCATGAGTATCTCGTTATTTTCATTTTACTTGTTGCTATTGTTGCAGTGGTGTCCGTCAAATTGCAAAGCATTATTATACTATATCCATGAATATTTCCACGTTTTTGGAATTATTTATTTTTTGTATCGACGGTGAAATTACGATCATCAATTAATTCATCGACGATGGGCAAATGAAACATTTATAACTATTAATTAGCCAATAATAATTATTGCGATTGATGCTCGAGCGTGTGCTAATCAAGCAGCATGCGAAAAGCGAAACCAGGCGTCACTATAGAATTCAAAGTGAGTAAATTTTAATGGATTTGAATAAAGCTGCGCAAGTTTTTGCTTTTAACAAATAACAAAACAATTACATTTCAGTACGCTTAACTAGTAGTAACTTTGCTGGATTTGCCCCAAAGCAAAACAATCAGTAATCATGCCACAAGTGGTTTAGAATTTTCGTATGATTAAATCCATATTCGAACCATTGAAAATGGCTTTATGTACTTTGCGCTAGGGTTATTACGAAGGCACAAAGGCATATGTAATGTCGGTAACCAGACATAGTAATTAAAACAATGATACACACAAGTCTTTTTGACGCTGAAGTGATGTGCATGTTTCGAAACAACTTTGGATTGTACTTTCCAAAGGTTAAGCGATTTGTGTGCATTTTCGTTGGTTTTACAGCACGAGAAGAAAAAAAAAATAGGACAAAGCAATTTGAAATATCATTGCGGAAAATTATCATGAACAGATTCTAATCTATGCAATATGGTTCCGAACTGATAAGCTGCAATTCATCATGGCAACAAGGAAGATACGTTCTCACCACTTATATGCATCTTGGGATCGCATGCAAATCTTGGGAAGGATTTCAACATCTCTGAGCATTGATTCATGTATTCAAATTTACTTAATATCATAAAATTTTCAGAATCTCAAATTCACAGAAAATCACAAGTACTCATCTAACGAGAGCAACACTCAATTGACTAAATCAATTTGAATTGTATCGCTTCCACGAACCAACTGATTAGCATCGATGGGGACAAACAAGGATGAACTTGAAAGTCAATTAAAAATTCACTCTCTATGAGGTATTTGGGAGACTAATTGAATAAGCATCAATGGCTCCTGAATTGTATGCTTTTATACTCGATGAACAATTATTCATATCTTTCATACCGCTTCATATGTTTCGCTTGCTTTAAATGTCAGGGGGGGGGGGGGTTCGAGAATCTTTTAAACAAGCCTATTCCGATGTTTACTTTCATCTAATTGCGCCAAGAGGTCCATCATTATTGTATAATAAATACATCTGTATGGCCAAACGGAATAAAATCACTCACTAATTGGTTCCACATTCAATTCATTTTCAAATGGAATTTTTTTCCTCTCATATTGTTTTCTATATAGGATATATTTGTTGTGATACAACAACAACAAATTGCTATCGATTAATGAGGATCAATAAGAGCATTTAACCATTTTAACGAGAAAAAAAAAATTGTATAATTGAGGAAAGGAAAATTACAACATGCGATCGCATTTCATTAGTTGAGATTCGGTGGCGAGATGAAACCGTTTTTTCCATGAGGTGTGAACGTGGGCATTTTTAGGGTAAATCCCTTGTGTGTACATGACGACGATATCTAACTCCCCACTTCAAACAATCGAATGCAATTGTTTATGCTTTTTTTTTTTTTTCTATAACACGCTCTTTGATTTGCTGGAAATTTCATAGAAATCATTGAATGTTCGTTTTCGGAATATTTCACATCAATTGGCCTTGCCATTCACTACTTCAGTGGAATTGTGATGTAGTCAACCAAATAACCGTTCCCGTGTGCGAATATTGTAACTGACCAGTCAGTCAACTAAATTTCGGACAAAAATGACTTACTTTTCTTACTATTTTTTTTTTATACAAAAAAAAAAAATTCAATCAACTACAGTCAATTGAATCTAAAGTCAGTCAGTCATTTTTTTTTTTTCACACGGGTTTGCTGCAATTCAAAATTGGAATCGAAGCAAGTCTCACGCGGTACGCGTGAATGTTGAATGAATATTAATAACAGCTGATAAAACGTGAGGAATCTCTCTACTTCCATCTCTAACATAAGCTCATAGATATTACATATAGCTCAGTTTTCTACTTTTACCTAACTGGCTTTAATTGTTACGTAAAGTATGACAATGAACTTAATAATTCAATATTATCCTATTTAGAACCAAAGATGCCAGCCTAGTGACTTTTATTGATTTACCTACATAAGAATTTTACGGAAATTACCGTAAATGCATCAATGTAGAGAAAATGACATGGTGACGTCGTCGTCGCAGCGGAATGTAAATGAAATGTCTACATAGATCTACAACATTGGTCGGCAAATGAGTGTGAATTCTATATAAGAATAAAGTTGACTAGCTCATTTTTGCCGCTCCATAAAGATGAGCAACAATTAAACGATAATCTCTATGGTGCCAGCAACCGACTTCGACTATGACACGGATGAAATAACCTAATGACAACAAAACATGTTTACATTGCGAATAATTTACGATTCAAACAGTGAAATCTGAAAGCGTATGAAACTTTTTCCTTGCAAAAAATAGTTGGGATAAGATTTGAGAAAGTAATTGCAATATCGCAAAATTGACATCAATAAACGATCAACATTTCTAAATATTTACTACAGAGCTGGAAAAAAACATTCTGTGTGTGCGCGCACGTAACTAAGAACGCACTCATAGTAGATGTGCGGCGCACATAGCTCTTGTAGTTTTTGGTGTGCGTGCACATTTACATAGTTTACTTAAATTTCCTCCGAAACCTTTTTTGTTTGATTGACTGTTAATATTGTTGCTTTAAGTTGCAATTAGAATATTTAACGCATGTGAGTGTACACGATGCTCCACCCGAATTGGTTTAAATATGCATTCAGCGTAGATTTTTTCTAGACTGAAATAATTTATTGGCAGCTCAAAGGCTATCCGTTTGAATACTGAGAAACGGTTTCAACAACTTATATACTAGTCATTTTCAAAGCCGAAAACTGACAGTTTCGCACCACTTTTCAGCGGTTATTTATGAGCAGCTGTTTGAAATCGAACGTGGCTCTTGAATTGATTGGAGTCTGAAACACAATGGTTGCGTTTGTATTTGTGCAATTGTCACAATGCATTTCGAAGAGGAATCTGCCGTGTGCGTTGTAAACACAACAATCGTTTATGCATTAACAATATTTACAATATATGCATTTTGGCTATCAAAGTCATGAAATTGTTTCACTGTAACCGTGTATTAATTACATGACCATAATTTTAACCAATTTTAGACGGCTGATGACAATCAGGGACACTGGTACACATTGTTTATCTGATTTATTTGTGTGCGCGATTCGGTTCAACAATTTGCGGACTTTCGTTTTCCGTGCAATATCACTGAATTGGCATTCATTTTTTTTTTCTGAACAAGGGAAAGATGGGAGACATAAGATTACGCACATATCACACATTAAAAGCGTCTTCTGAGAAATGTCAACAACACTTTTTACATTGTGCAAAAAAGAATCATCGTCTGTCGACTGTTTCTCTCCCACAGATTTTGCCTCTATTAAAGTTTCGTATGGCTACCATTAAAAAGACTTATCAGCCAATATGCAGAGTCTATAAAGTGTTCAA